AATCAGACGTTTATGAGAAAATTACTTGTATTTTGAGATTAAGGGAGACGTTTATGAGAAAATTACTTGTATTTTGAGATTAAGGGAGTAGTATTATAATTTGACCACTATTTGATACGTGTTATAAAAATACTTTTATTTTTGAAACTAAGAGAGTAATATTATCTTTGATTAGCTCGATCTGTTGATATCTTTCTCATATATTTGCCAGTTTGATTGATGTCACGACTCGGTGACCTTGCCGACGTGGCCTGTATGTAACGACTAACATACACTGTGCTTGCTACGCGTATTACTTATGTCTACATCGAGAGAGCACGATCGATACTCGATTATTGTCCTTCTGAAAACAACTTAGCTGGGATTATATGTACTGTTGCGTATTAATTATCCATCCAATTATTTATATATGGTGTTTTCTGGAATAACACAGGTGCATGTTATCTAGTTGCTTCGATTTTTGTTATTCTAAAGGATCTCGTCATTTGGCCAAGAGTTAAGCATATGACTAACGGTTTATTAGTAATAAAAAATTAAATTTCAACTTTATATATGGTCTTTGATTGCTTAAATGCCAATGCTAAAAAACTACGTTCAAAATATCCTAAAAAAATTGAAGTTTTAATATTTAAAAATTGATAACGGCTGATTTTTTAAGGGCAAACGATGAGGCTGATAGTCATTGAAATGGTATATAACATCCATGCAAAATGGTATATAACTTTCAAATTATTCTTATTCATCCAGATGGCATCTTATATCGATGAGAATAAAGAATACGTATGAATTACCCTTGCAGGAGAATGTATTCGAGTTTTTAGAGTAACATTGAAGATCAATTTCAGTGGCTTACATGGATATTGGAAAAATTTTCCACCTATTGGAATTTACAAATATAAAATGTAAAATATATAATAATGTCACCTTTTCTTATCATCATCTCGTTGCGTCTACCTTTTCGCCGTTGTTTGACAAAAATTTCAGGTAGAGACAAAAGGTAATCGTCAGGAGCAATATTGTATTGCGTTACTAGCCAATTGAGGGTGTCGGGCATGTAAGTTGTAACACGCCAAAGAAGATATTATTGACTCAGTCAAATTTATAATGGATTGCTACTATTGGAGACATCGACATGTCTATCATTGAGGCATATAACCTTAGTACTCCCCCCGTCACATAATATAAGGGATTTTAAGTTTTTGTTTATAATGTTTGACCACTCGTCTTATTTAAAAAATTTATGCAAATATAAAAAATAAAAAGTATTGCTTAAAGTACTTTGGATAATAAAATAAGTCACAAAGAAAATAAATAATAATTCTAAAATTTTTTAAATAAGACGAATGGTCAAACAGTGCAAACAAAAACTCAAAATCCCTTATATTATGAGACGGAGGGAGTAGTTATTTCATCAAAGATTGTAGTATAACGAGATACTAGTACATTTCTATTTGAAAATGAATTATGATTTTGATCTATACGTAAAATGGAATTACCCCATCCGTTCAAATATAGCGCGTATTTTGGCTATCCAATTTTGAGTTTTGACCGGCTATTGATATAATAATGTTTAGGTTTTGACCAAAGAAATTATTATTGTTGGATTCATATTATCTGAATTAATCACCCCCATCCGTTCAAATATAGTGTATATGCAGTTTGAAAGCATTTTCTTATGGCTATGATTCCGTAACCGAAAGTGAAATAGTGTAAGAGAAATTTATTATCAAAACTTGTTCAGAATACGTCCTAGTATTTTTGAAAGAAGGAGTACTGATTTTAGTTAGAGTAAAATACACCAGCGGTTCTTATACTTGTCAGGAGGTTTCACTTAGATCCACGAACTTATAAAGTGCACATCGAGGTCCCTAAACTTAGTTTATTGTATCATCCCGGTCCAAAGCCGCGTTTGACTGTGGTCTTGCCTACGTGTCACGCCACGTGGACAATGATATGGAATTTTTTTTTATTTTTTTATCCCTTCTTCCTTCTTTTTCCTCTTTCTTCCTTCTTTTTTTTCTTGGTGGTGAGAGGCGGCACGAGGAGAGGGGCTGTCGCAGTGGTGAAAAAAAGAAGGAAAAAAGGAGAAAAAAAATTCCATGTCATTGTTCACATGGCGTGCCACATAGGCAAGACCACGGTTAAACGTGGCTTTGGACCGGGATGAAACAATAAACCAAGTTTAGGGACTTTGATGTACGCTTTGCAAGTTCGTGGACCTAAGTGAAACCTTCCGATAAGTTTAAAGACCGCTGGTGTATTTTACTCTTTTAGTTATCAGATATCAAGTCATGCGATTTAGTAGTTGTAAATTTGATTGAAAACAAGGTGCACGCTTCCGAACTGTGCTAAGATGACGACAAATTAGAGCCTACATCAATTTCCACTAGGAATAGTATGAATGGTCTAAAAAGATCTTGCATCGATCGACAAAATCACATGAGGACACGAGACGGATGGCTGAATCTTTGAATTGAGCATGGAAGCATACTTACTATCAACGGATGTTGCTATCTGCTATTGAAGAATATATGAGAATGAGAGACTTGTGGTCCAACACATGTACACGTCTATGGAGTGTCTGAGGCCTTGTTCAGTTAGGAAAAAAAATTTAAGTTTGATTGTCATATTGGATATTTGGACACACATTTAAAGTATTAAACGTAGTCTAATAACAAAACAAATTACAGATTCCGCCAGAAAATTGTTAGGCGAATTTATTAAGCCTAATTAATCAGTCATTAGCAAATGTTTACTGTAGCACCATATTGTCAAATCATAGCGCAATTAGGCTTAAAAGATTCGTCTCGCAATTTTACACACAAACTGTGTAATTGATTTTTTTTTTCCACATTTAATATTCCATGCATGTGTCCGAACATTCGATATGATGGGTGAAAAGTTTTTGTTTTGGGAACTAAACAAGGCCTGAGTGGAGAAGAAAAAAGAAAATTGAGAAGATACATAAAACGAGGTGAGCCATTAGCATATAATTAATTAAGTGTTAGTTATTTTAAACTAAAATTGAATTAATATGAATATTTAAAATAACTTTTATATAGATTTTTTTAAAAAAACATTGTTTAACAGTTTAGAAAGCGTGTACGTGGAGAACGAGAGAAACATTGTTTGTTTAGAAAAGTTTGTAGCAGCTGTAGATTGCCTCGGAATCTCCAGCTCAACTCAAACATTCATACTTCTTTTACCTAAGTTCAAATAATTATAAGCTATAGATTTTAGGAAACGAATTAATAGTTAGAAACTAAAAACCTAGTTTTTTTATTCTCATCAATTGGTTACTCACTACCTATTTGTTAGAATCTCTAGCTCTCTAGACAGAACGTAAAAATCACACGTGTCTCTGCCAAGTTTTCCAAGATGAAAGCCACATAGGGGGGTTGGGCATTGTACTCCGTAGCTATCACACGTACCAACACTTCAAGTGTCAAATTCTTTGCCTTGTCACCGATTGCTTAGTAGGAGTAGGAGAGAGAGGGGACTAGCAGATTAATTAGGTGGTGTTTGGATCAGGGACTTAACTTTAGTCTATGTATTTAGACATTAATTTAGAGTATTAAATATAGACTATTTACAAAACTAATTACATAAATAAAAGCTAATTTACGAGACACATTTTTTAAGCCTAATTAATCCACAATTAGAGAATGTTTACTGTAGCATCACATAAGCTAATCATGGATTAATTAGGCTTAATAGATTCATCTCGCAAATTAGTCCAAGATTATGGATTGGTTTTATTAATAGTCCACGTTTAATATTTATAATTAATATCCAAACATCCGATGTGATAGGGACTTAAAAAGTTTTAGTTCCATTTAAACAGGGTATAATGAGAAAGAAAACCTATAAACTTCACTTTCGGGTCTATGTATACTAGCTACTCTCCAATTTCACCACTGGAATTTTCAACTTGTTTTGTGCAATTTATTGTTTTTTCTCAATGGTGGTATTCAAGTCATACAGAACTACTATACATTTCAAAGTACTAAGTTTCAACATGGCCATGTTTTTTATTAGCGGTAACGAAAATTGTTTATCTATAAACTTTCACCGCTCATATTTTTTTTCAAATAAGAATGAATACCTGAAAAGATACCATATTGTTAACGTTTATCGATTTATTGAACCTATAATCTTATATTCCTATTGGTCCATTTAAAAAAATATTATTGAAAACTAAACAACAAGTCAGCATTATCAATTGTTTGAAAATAGAGAGGGTGTAATTTACGATTTAATCCGGTGACGACAAAGCTATAATTTTTTTTCTCACCAATGGTACCAAATCGTTGAGCACCATGAAAACACATAAAGTTCTATCTGGATTTGATTTTTAGTCCGTGTTTAGATCTCCTATTCCCAACTTTCCATCACATCATATCACATTAAAAACTTTTTCTACACATATAAATTTGCAACTTTTTTTCAAACTTCCAACTTTCTTCAAACTTTCAACTTTTTTCAGAAACTGAACACACCTTTAGGTTAGGACAACAAACTTTTTCTGAAGTCATTTCTGTTACTACTTTCTCTCCCATCCATTATTATTTCATTTCACGGCAGTAGGAAAATTTTAAACGTTTGAACAATCTGCATAAAGTATTAAAATATAGGCTAAAAAATAACTAATTATACAGATTGTGACTAATTTGCGAGACGAATCTTTCAAGCTTAATTGCTCAGTGATTTGACAATATGGTGCTACCGTAAATATTTGCTAATAACAGATTAATCAGGCTTAATAAATTCGTCTCGCGATTTACTGATGGATTCTGTACTTAGTTTTTTTATTAGTACCCAAATACCAATACAATACTCTATATAATATCCGATGTGGCTTGCCAAAAACGCCGCTGGAATTAAAAGCCCCAAAATGCTGCAAAAGCCAAAAACCGTCTCTAGTTACACCCGTGGGGCCCGTCCACATCCCACAACGGCCCAAAATGAGAGCATGACAGCCCGGGCCCACGCGCTACTCCCAGTAAAGAAACACACTCTCCCACTCTCTCCTCTCCTCTGTCCCTCTTCTTCCTCTTCTCCCAAGAACTCTCTCCTCTCTCTCTCTACTCTTCTCTTCTCTCTCCTTTTGTTGCTTCCATTTCTCGTTCTTGCACGGGGAAGAGGAGAGAAAGATGTGTGTCGCTGTGGTTTGAAAAAGGTTGGGTGTGAGAGGAGAGAGAAAGTGGAGTGGAGGGGAGAGAGAGAGAGAGAGATGGGTTCTTGCGCTTCGGTTCACAAGGACCTCGGGTTCCCCAAGAAGCTGTTTCTTGCGTCGTCGCCTACCAAGGAGAAGAAGGCCGCGAACGGGAAGGGTGGCGGTGGCGGTGTGTCTGTTGATCTCAAGCGAAAGGAGCAGCAGCAGGCGGCGGCGGCAGGGGTTGGCGTCAGGAGCCCCGGTTCTGGTAGGATTCGTTGATCTTGGCTCTCTTGGGTCTTTTTCTGAAGTGAGTTTCAGTTTCAGATGGTTGTTTGATTGATCAGTTTGGTTGCTTAGCTAGGTAAGTCTATTCTTGAAAGGTTAAAGAGGGAGATGAGTAGATGACTTGGCTGATCTTTCTGTGGAAAAAAAAGAAGAAGAAAAGAGGCCTTTTGGGTTTGTTTATTGATTGATTTATTGTTTGGGTCTGGATTTAAGAATTTGAAAGGGAAGTTTTATGGTGTTAAAAGTAGTTTATGAAGAATAAAAAGATTGCTTATTGGTATTAACAATAGCTTCCGAAGATCAAACAGACTGATTGTTTCAGTAGGAATTGATGATATTAACTGAAACGGACCTCTGTTCAAGTGTTCATACAAGCTGGTTTTCGATTCAGGTTCATCCAAATCAGGAACTTGCTTCATGGCCATTTGATTAGCCTGGGGGGGGGGGGGGGTTGCAGTGTGTTTGTATCTAGTATTACTTTGTCCAAAATCAACTGCTTGCTCTTTGTGTTACCAATCATCGACGAGATGTGCAAGTTGACTGTTTTGTGTATTCTAATGTTCTTGTTTGTCAATTGGGCACTTCGTTGAATTTGTGTGTTCATTAATTAAGCCTGATCGAATTTATACCATGGTTACACATGCTTGTCTGACCTGAATATGCAGTTTTTAATGGATAGAGGAACTTAAAGAACTTAATTTGCAGGTAGCAAGGATGAAATGTTCTTTGACTCGCGGGCATGGTTAGATTCTGATTGCGAGGACGACTTCTACAGTGTGAATGGAGGTAATCTAATGATGCAGAGTAAATAGGTTCCTTCTCACTGGCATGTCTGTAGTGCCAGTGCCTTGTTCATGCTGTTTCCTTTTCAAGTCTATCCTATTATTGTATCAGTAGCATACTAGCATGAGGCCTGTTCTTTTTGTTTAGTCCAAATTGCATGTGCGCTGATTGATTTGGTGATGATACAGTTTTATCTGTCTCTCTGGATTCTAAGGGGCTTATTTTAGCCCTTTGATTGCTTGTTGAGACAAAAGGTTGAGGCCTTTGATTTCGTCTTTTGGCATTATCATGTTTCTAGCATCTAATAATCTGTTAGCTGCATTGGACCCCCCACCTTTAACTTCGGTTACCTATTCCATGGGGTCCTTTATTTCAGAAGTCTTGCTATACACTTAAATTATAAGAAACTCCATTTCTTCTGCATCATTCTGGAAGTTCAATGAACAAGTAGATATTCTACTGTACCAAGTGATTTTGATTGTTTTCAATTCATGTGTAATGTATGTTTTTTCGTGTGCAGATTTTACTCCGTCTCGTGGCAGCACTCCAAACTACCAACCCAGAACACAAACAGTTATGAGCAATGTCTTTGTACCTGATAATGTACAGAATTCCAAATCACCTGAACCTTCTCCAACTGGAAGGAGAAAACTAGCCGAGCTCTTGCAGGAGGCGATGCAGAATGGTTCCGAAGATAGCACCGATGCATCTGTTCCAGACATCAGCAAGAATGAGAAGCAGCAATTCCAGCCTGTTTCTGCAGCTGTGAAGCCAGTATCTGAGTCCAGCTCCACGTGTAGCACAGAACCGACGCCGATCAGAGAAGCGAAGAATCGCAAGGAGAAGGCGTGGTACACCGGTCGCTGTTGCTTGCCGGCTTTTGTTCATACCCTAGACTTAGATGAGAGGAGGCAGAAGATGACCCCTGGGCCTTGTGCTGTTTGACATGGCTGCTTCCCTTCTATGAGCTGTATCTACAATATACTACCTGATCCGGCCCTGAGTTCACTGTAAAGAAGACTAGTATTGAGAGCACTATATCCTTGTAATAATCAAGTGAATAGTCACTCTTGAGAATTCATGTGCTGTATCCATGTTAAATCAACTGTAAGGTGAGGATATCTAGCTCAAGAAATGATCATTTTGTGCATATCTGGATGAATCTTTATGGATATAAAATTTTCTCAGTTGTCAATTTTGTAATCAATCTGTGGGAAGTGCATGTGACATGTGGGATACCATGCCAACTTTTTTCAATAGGTTAGCAATGTGATTGATTGGCAAATTGTGATGGCCTTTTTTGTTTGGGATAGCTTGATTGACGCCAGACAATTGGATTGCTCTACCCAATACCAATTGTCCCAAACTTTTAATTTTTTTTCCTTTCATTGACAATTCAGCGTGGCTGTGTGTCGTAACATCTTGCAGAATTTGTGATTTGGCATTTGTGCCATGAATCGAAGCCTGATTCGTGTGGGTTGGCATTCTGCTTGATGGCGCCAACGTGTTTGTGCAGCGCTTTTGATCGAGCTTATGATAATGACAAGCCAACTGCCCCAGGATATGGATGATTACACCGTTGCCTTCGTCATTTCTGATATTTCTAACTACTACTTGATCAGTTTAGTGTCAGCGATGCAATATATGTGCAAAAAACTCGAATTCTACACCGTTATTTTGGGCTTGCAAACCTGGCTACGAACTGCAAAAACGACTAGGTAAAAATGAATTTGAATGCTCGTTTTTTGTTTGGATGAAAGGACCAATGGATATCAGCCAAAAAACCCGTCAGATATGGCAGCCCATACGACCCCTGTACACAAAAGCACCTAACATTATCCTCTCACGAGTATCACAAACACAATAAAAACATGGTGTCTATTGACTCTATTTCTCTCTGGCCCACCATTTAAGATCACTTTAATCAATCAGGTTTGACATGTGACACATGAACACTATCAAGATATATAATTTTTATGATTTCGATCATCCAGGGGCAACCAAAGCCAACACAACACAGTGCAGCATAACAAGCTGGAAGCTTCCATTCAAAATACATTTTTCAAGGTTCACATCTAAGCAGGGTAAAGAGGTGTACAGACTGAGAACAGGCCCAACTGCCTGCCTGACAAGAGAAACATTGTCGACAACACTATAAATATCACTCGATCGTTTTGGTGTTGATATTACAGGATGCATTGTATTCCTGCATAGCTCCTCCCCACATGATCAGCTTCGAACCTTCATACCTGCGGCTCCAGTGATTACGACAAATGGACTACCGAAGTGAGGAAGAAGACATGAGAAAGGATTGGATGCGTTGCAGGAGCTCTGCCTTCACAGAATCAGGCACTGATGCTGTTCCAGAGACAAGAGATAATGAGAATAATACGAGAGATAGATATTTTGAAAGGAAAAAAAAAGAACTTCCCCACCCAGTACTGTAAATTTGTAATACCACCAGCAATAAACATTGAGAACCGAGTGATGAACAGATGATATGAGGCATTGAGGTGAGGATGTAAGCTTAGTAACATCACAAATCCATTTATGCATTAAAAGGTAATATCCATTTATTTGGCCTTAACTCACAAATCCAATTTTGGTAGCAAAATATGAGAAAAGATGACAAAACAAAATGTGTGACAGTGCTATGTTAGTATGTTACTATAATATAATTATACTTTTATATTGTATTTGGCAGACCATTTGGTGTGCCGTCGACTCAGTAAATAGAATTCCTCACACATTTGTAGGAGAAAAATTGGAGAAACAAAAATAGCTTTACCTCTTCCTTTTGGAGTAATGACATGAATAAGATCATCTACTGTAACATTATTTCTTCCTTTCTTCCTTGCATAGGCCCTACAGAAATAAAACAGCTCATAGAACCAATGATGGTACAAAATCTATTTGATGCTGAAAAACCTTAGTGACCTATTTTAAACCGTGGAATGTGTACAAATTCCAAAATGGGCTCAGCATGACAACATCAGGTAGCACGTGTAGGTCAGCGACGATCTGTAATGTGGTCTAAGTCTTTGGGTTTTCTAATCTCTCTAGCAATGGTCTATAACAACACTGCATACTAGGGTTAAGAAGAATCGTACTATATGTACTACATGGCCTAGCCACCATGGAAACCTAACAGTTAAAGTAACATTCTGCAGGAAAAGTTTAAAAGCACCCCCCATAATGTTCAATGAGCAGCCAAAAAGCATGTATAAAGACCCATATGCTGTCTGGTTTACTTATAAACCTCCGGGCAAGTTTCAGAAACAGCATACCGAGTAAAACAAGTGATTAATTGCAGAAATTTTAGATATTGACTGAAACAACAATATGTTGAAGCTAATTATTCCTTCATTCATTCATTCATGTTAAAGCCTTACAAACGCTTGTGCTTTGTACATTAAGCAAACTGGTAGCTATACGCACTAGGAAACAGAAGACACAGATCATTGTTCACAGAGGCTTAGGCACGGAATCGTTGCCGGAATTCAGGATCACCAAGCAGAAACTCATCACAAACGATACAAGAATTTGGTGGGACAAGGAACCAAACCTGCAGAGAGCTTTCATCTCGTCCCTCCAGCCGCACTCGACGAGCCGCTCCCGGAGGAGCTCCATCAGCTTCTCCTTCTCCCCACTCTCTACCAACTTCACAAAAACCAAAAAAACCACCTCACTGTCAGTCACCACACTCGAACACAAGAGCAGCAAAGATTAAAAAAAAAAGCACCCACCCAAAAAAGATCCACTAAACCAAACCCTAATCAAATCTAATCGAAGATTACCCTCTTCTTGGGTGATTGGACGTCACCGGTAGCCGGAGAGTCCACCGCCTTTTCGGCACCAAGTGGCAAGAACTTCAATTCCGCAGCAAATTGGAAGGGGAAAAGAAAAAAACAACCACTGTTTCGCAGATTCCTGCACGGTTTCTGCAAGAGGATGAAGAGCAAGCCGTACCTTGACGTTGATGATTTCTCTGAGGGAAAGCTCCTTCTGCGGATCCTCCTCCCGATTCGGGGTCGGCGGCCGATTAATCGACGCCCACCTGCAACAAAAGCTTCAAATTCAACAAAAAAAGAACACCGCTGGATTTTTCACACCTAAAGCTACATGAACTGACGAAAAGTGCGAATTCATCGGTAATGGCTCCGATTTGTTCGATCAGATGAAGAATTTGTGGAACAAATCCCAGGATGCGCGTAGGAACAGCTTAGGAAGGATCGATTAGGCGGGCTTACATGATTGGATTGGATTCTCCTCCCCTTCCTGCTTGCTTGCTTCCAGCTTCGTTTCGTGGCTCCCTTTCTTTCTCCATCGCTTCGACCGAGCCGGACTTAAGAGCTGACAGGCTGGGACTGTTTGCGCTTACTGGGCCTGAATTTTGGGCCGTTTCTTAATTTAAGAGATTTAATCAAATATCCACTATAATATACAGTATATACTCGTCGTCCCTAAATATAAATATTTTTAGCTATAAATCTCGACAGATATTTAATCAGATTTATAGCTAAATATTATTATATTTTAGGATAAATATAGTAAGTTGCAAAGTAGAATAGCAAACTGCTCTCTGTTGGTTCTAATGAAGTGCATATACAGCATTGCAATTTGCAATAGTAATTAATTACCCTGGTGGTGGCAAGATTAGTCGAGATAAATTGCAAAACTGTTAATGCCCGCACCATGGCTTGGAACACTCATATGACCATCAGTAAGACATAAGCATCGTCCTATCGATCTAAGTTATTTCCCCGTTTTTCTGCTCCTAAATCACGAGTTTGATCTGTCACTATTTCTACTGTTAATGGTCAAAATGGTCTTGTATAGATTCATCTGTAGGAGTACTTATTATATGGCCGTTCAGTCTCAACAAAATTCTTAGATCTGACACTAGCTGTAAGTATACTCTTGACACACGTTTAAAGAGGCTAACACCATCGGCCTTAATCTTATTAAAATCCTACTAAAAATGACACCTATGTGTGCATAATTTTTTGTATCCATCAAGATTTAAGGGGATGTTTGGTTGCTGCCCTCACTTGAGCGTTCTCACTCAGACAGATCAATCCAGCCGCAGGCGACTAAAATCGAACAACTGAGATCGATGCCTGAGTTAGGCATGATTCTCAAGGAAGCAACCAAACAACCCCTAAATTCTAGACCCACAATTGCATCATCACACCATCGATGCTTCCGCACATATAGAAAAATTTTGACAACCGATTTACTTAAAAAAAACATCCGAATGATTCTTAAGACAAAGAACCCATGATTTTCTAACCTTTAGATCTTGCTCAAAGATTTATGCATCACCTCGTCAATCTATCTCTAACAAACTTCGATAAGCTCTTGGGTTTCTCCAGTGACGACATATGACAGATTTAGAATATAAGGTATGATATAGATTGGAGGGGAGGTTGGGATGGAGAGAGGGATTAGGGAGGGAAGAGGAAAGGGGTGAAGATTACGAGTATAGAGGGAGGCTCATGGATGGTGTGGTGCCGTGGATCAGGAGAGGAGTGTGGTTAGCGGTGGAGGAAACAAGGAGAGAGTTATCGAGAGGCGGCGGTCGGCAGTGAAGGCGAGGGGATAGGAGCAATGTAAACCTAGGTGGAGGCGATGGGAAGACTAAGTGCAATGTGAATCGGGTGGCGGCGACGATGATAGCACGTGGTTATTTTTCTCCTAGCTATTAGTGGTATGGGGAATAATGTAAATGGCTAGATTTTGATCCAATGGTTGAAAAAAAATGTTTCAGAGAAAAAAATTCAAAGGGTGGTTAGATCATCCCTTTTGGAATGTTTCCTTGTGATTGAATTAAACTAACATGTAATTTTATATAGAATTTTTTCCTTAAAATAAAGCTAATCTATAGATTTCTCATGAGTGGCCTAGAAAACAGTTGGGCAAATTTAAACCCATCCTAATGCAGTTTGTTTTGATGCTAGTTTTTTAATAATAGCCACAACTATTACAGGGGTTGCAGCCTTGCATGATAAAATACTATAAACTAAAAAAACCATAATATGATTAAAAATAAGACAACTATGTAAAACACCAATCCAGAGACATAGAAAAACTAACTTCCGTCTATGTTGGCAATGGCAAGGAATTGCATAACTTTTATTTTTTGAGCGGCTTTACAAGTTGTTTGATGCCACTGTTTGTCAGATCAATTACTATTGAGACCCATTTTTGTTACTTCCAGTTTCAGTAGTGCACACGGTATATTTGGATTGAGACCCATTTTTGTCCAAGTCAAAACAATTGAGTTTACACCCGTAACAAGAAGCTCACTTGTGCATTTTCGCTTGCAAACAAAACATTTCAAAAACTGCCATATTTCGGAGGAAAAGAAAAATCCTCGTCATCATCACTGAGACTTCATCAGTCACATATATGGTGGTGTTAGAATATTCTGAAGATAAAGATGAAGATGAAGATAAAAATTAAGTATTTCACACCAAATGAGATGGTAATAACTTGTGATTAATTGAGTTTTAATTATTACAAACTTGAAAAATGTATTAACCTTATATTTTATAACAACTTTCATGTAAAAAGTTTTCACACGAAACACACCATTTAGCAGCTTAAAAAATATGCCACATGTATCCAAACAACTTTTATTGGAGAAAAAGAACAAGACCTATATTCCGACAAAAAGCGGGAAAAAAATCTCTCTCCTCCTCACCGCCTTATCCCCTTCATTTCCCTCTTCCCGCCTCCTCATCCACCTCCTTCCTCGCCGCCGGCGAATGCCTCCACCGGCGGGGCTGCTCCCCTGGCCGGCGCCGTCCGCCGCGCGCCTGGCCGCCCCGACCCGGACGCGCCCTCCTCCTCGCACTCGCGTTCGCCCTCCACCCCCTCCCGCTCCTCCCCCGCCGCCACCGCCTCGGCTCGAGCCCGTCGTCGTCGTCGCGCCGAGCACAACCACGGCCACCGCGACGCTGCCTCCCATCATCACCCCCACCTTGTCCCCCTCCACCTCCACGTGCCTCGAATGCGTCCACTTCAACTCGTACGGCTCTCTCTCCTCGAATGCGTGTGCGCGTGTGTGAGAGACGGCGAAGTGATTTTTTTGATTTTTTTTTTCTGATGCGCGATCTCTGCAGGTGTTCGGGTTGCACGCACGAGGTGGATCTGGACAAGCCGCCGGTGCTGCAGGAGGTGGAGAATTTCTTCAAGGGTCACGGAGTTGGAGATTTCACCTTCAGCAGAGGCAGGCTGGTACGTGTAGCTTCTAAACAATTTTGGCCGTGCCCAATGTATGCAATCCGTGCTGTTTGGTTGTCTAATTTACTTACCTGGTGCCGAGATTAGTTTAAAGGGTCATGAACTCACGATATCTCAGGTTCGGTTCGGTAATTAGCTTAGCTATTTTGGATATATATGTAGTCGTGCATGGTTTTGTTCATTTGGGAATATGTTTGGCAAACTGATGCTGGTGTTTTGAGGACATCAAAGCAATGCGTCCACCAGAAAATTTTATCATCCAAATGTAGCGAGCTAGCTAGCTGAATTTCTTATTCAATTGTGCAGGGATAGATCATGGTTAGTTGAAAGTAGCATCGGTGTTTTTTGTATAGCTAATTATGTTTATTTTTTAATGCAAAATTGTAGTAACAGAGATCTAATAGATGCCCAATCAACCTGATTATATGTTTGTTTGATGGCCTATGTGGCTATGCCATGTGATGCGTTACTTCTTAGAGCTGTGACGTCTGAAGGCATGCAAATCCTGTACTAAGCCACATTGCCGTATGGATCTCTCAGTAAATGTTTTAGGTTATCTAAGAATTATGATGGCTTTGCTTCTCCACTAAACATGAGAATGGTGCTTTTAGAGGGAGTGGCGGTGCCGTGCAAAGCTAGCTATACGTGGAACACCAGAGAACCCGTTGATTGGCCTATATCAGGAAGGGACACACGCTGTTGCAGATATTCCAGAGTGCAGAGGTTAGTTACCACGACATACCTCCTATATTCAATGAACTTGGCACATCCTGTGCCAGTTCGTTCAAAAAAGAAAGTTATCATGACCTATGAAATTAAGAGAACTACTTACAAAGGAAGCTGCAATGATCTGGTTGAGCTTCATTGTGATATGCTTTATTTTTTCATGACAGTTTATGAATCCTTTTTGTTTTACATTTTCTTCAGCTCATCACCCAAGCATCAATGCTACTGTCAAGCTTCTAAGACAAGGCATGTTCCTACAATTACTTGTTTGTTGCTTCATTGGGATATGCAAAAAAAAATATCCTTTCCATTGCCAAAGAAACCTAATATATAGTAACTATGTTCTTTTAGCTATATCTGAGTTGAATATTGAGCCATTTGATGAGGATGCGAGTACCGGCGAACTGAGATATGTGCAGGTAAACTGTTTCTTAATAGCATGCACATAATACATATTACTATATGAATGACAGCTTATGCATCTTTTTCTGGCTAAAAACGTCACCTTATCAATCATATTCTTTTTCTTCAAAAACTCCCATGTCATTATGTTAGTGATCCTGGTCATTTGATTTATTTTACATATTCTCTAGATGGCTGTGACAACGTATAACACATCTATTCCAGTTGCTAAAAGATATGAGCAAGGTTAGCCTGATTCCTCATGCGCTGAATGCTCTAAGTTTCTTTTCTTGTCTAATACTAATTCCAAATTAATTTAAATGCGCTATTTGCTTAACCAGGAAGAGTTCAAGTTTCGTTGGTTTGGAATTCAAGGGATGAGCGATCCAAAAATGCAGAGAAGTTGAGCTTGTTGTCAGAAGTAAGTTGATGAAATTGAGGTTCTGCAGCTACAGCACATGTAGCTGCTATTTTGCTTTCGCGTTTCCTTGGACGTTTTCTATCAGTACTTCAACTCCTCTTTTTCCCATTTTATCCTCAATCTCTGTGCTCCTTGCGACAGTTCTTATGGAGAAATGGGGGACCAAGAAGTAATGTTCATCTGATTCACTCTATATGGGCTAATTTTCAGACATCAACCAGCAATGTAAGATACACCCTTGCATTTTAGTGTATACAACTGAACTTATTGTACATTTGTTGGCTATGCACATACTGTGTTTACCATTTTCATGATGGATACTTGAAAAAGTTGATGTTTTATCTGAAGTTGGACATTGTACAATTCACTTTTAGAGGCTCAGATCTACTGGTTTAACATCTCAACATATCCATTATATATGGATGAAAACAGTGGCACTTATATAATAAGCTTACTTGTACATTCATCAAGTATGTACAATCAGCTCCCTCTGATTAGCTGGTGGTAGCCACGTTGTCAAGAGGATGCACATATGCAAAACTGTATGTCTGTATTCCTGCCCCCATATAAAAGCTACTATGCTAATGTCAGCATTTGTGCAACACACCAGGGAAAAATTCTAGTGGACTAGAATTTTAAAAAAATATCCAAGGCTTTCTCCATGTTCACCTTTCTTTTCTTACGCTATAACTGTTGGCTTACAAGTTAAAAGAGACATAATTGAACATTACCTTCAGGATATATGATTTATTTTATTCAAGAAAAATGTTCTTACATCTGCAGATAATTTTTGGGCATAAATGGAGACATCTCATTGGGGAGAACGACTTATGGGAGCGTTATGGTGGAGTTGATATTTCTCTGGATCCTTATAGCTTTGGGCAGGCTAATACTTTGGTACGTGTGATTGAAGTTATCGCTGATTCATGTAGAACTTAACTATGCAAAGGACTAGATAAAACCAAAATTCTAGACAATTCAACTTTCTAGGACATAGTGATCAATTGTATACAAGCATACTCCATATATCCTTTTGCTGCATGAATCTTTAGATATAGTCGGAGAAGTTTCACAGGCTATGTTAGTTTATACTAAATTCCATACCATCAATGTCTTACAAATGCTGTGACCTCTTTGCAATGTCTTTCAGTCTTTTAATGCGTTACTGCATACGTTGCACAAATATGTACCACGTGGGTCAACAGTTGTTGACCTGTATTCTGGTGCTGGTGTTATTGGATTATCTCTTGCTGCTTCGAAGAAATGTAGGTGAGTTTATCCCTGTATTTCATTTTGGGGCTTGTCAAATAGCTTCATTACTTGACAATTAGGCTACCAAAGAGCAACAGCCTCATTTGGTTTATACTTCATATGTTGAAAAAAAATCATAACCTAAATGCTTTGCTTGATTCACAAACAAGAGTTGGGAGTTTGCTTCATGTTCATTATATTTGTTAGTATCTGTTGGAGGCATCAGCTCGGATTGCGGAACTTATCTTGTTTGTAGGATACTAAGTCAGATGCAGTAGAATAGTACTGGTATCAAGGGAGGTACGGTGGATTTATTATAATATGGTTTACACTTCATTACAAATCTAGAGTATTCTGGAGCAAATTTTGCCTTATGATATTGTGTTGTTTCTGCTTGACCTGACCAAACCTTATATTGGGGTGACCTGAAAATGCTAGGTTTACGTGCCTGGTCTGTCTCAACCAAAACAAGCTCCAAACTCAGCCTGGGAAATTCAAACAAATGTGTTTTCACTAGAAATATTTATTTTAAAAAAATTCTAAGATATTTATTAGAACATGTGGGCCTGGTTCAGTAGCCCAGTTGTCTCAAGCCTTGAAAAATATTTTTGGGTCAGTCTGGGTTGTGCGTGTCCATGTTTACTTTTAGCATAGCCTTCTAGGTGCCATGCTTCTCTTATTCAGGTATTTCTGGGTTGTGCGTGTCCATGTTTACTTTTAGCATAGCCTTCTAGGTGCCATGCTTCTTTTATTCAGGTATTTCATGATTTTTTTTTTACTTCCAGGTCTGTGAAATGTGTTGAGATTAACAAATTGTCAAAAATGTCTTTTGAAAAATCAGCAAGCCGACTTCCCCCAAACCTGGGTTGTACCATAACTTGGCACAACACTGATGCTTCAGTTGTATGTAACTAAACTTGTATTTTCTACTATGGTTACATCTCATATTATGAGGATTCATTTGGAACCTTCATCATCATACCAGGAACCTGTTCATTGGCTCGAAGGGTCAAGTGTTGTTATTGTGGATCCACCCAGGAAAGGATTGCACCCCTCTGTTATCTGTGCTTTACAGAAAGTTGCTTTGTCCGAACGCAAGGCATATAAGGCGAAAAGGTAGAGATAGTTGGAAATATCATTCCCAGTTCTGTGCTCTCATGCTTTTATTATATGATCCATCTGAGTCTTCTTAATTTGAGAATTTCGTGTCCGTTATGGTAAATTTATTGATAGTGATATTTGGTACATGGACACAGTACACTTACAAAGGTCAAAGATGAGAAGAGGCCATGGATCCTAAGAGCAAGAGAGGCAGCTGTTCAGGTTGATAGTACACCATTGGAAGGAAGTAGTGAAACGTGGCCAGAAACTCTTATATACATTAGCTGCGGATGGGACAGTTTTAAGAAGGTAAAAGTTACTCCCTCCATCCCAAATTATAACTTTTGGCTATGTATCTGGACATATTTTTGTCCAGATAAATGGCCAAAAGTTGTTATATTTTGGGACGGAGGTAGTACATATATATCACGCACTCAGCTAGTTCGCCGAACCTGAATTATGAGCTCTCTCCAAAATATGTACCTTGGCTGCTGGCTATCCTGGTGCGATTATTATGTCGTTTATAACCATTTCTTCAACAGGACTGCAAAAGCTTGATGTCCAGTAAGGCTTGGCATTTGCAGAATGCTCATGCTTTTAATTTCTTCCCTGGCACTGATAGGTATTCTGGGCTCTAAACTTGAATTTATTCCGTTGCACTAGCATATTGTGAGGATTGATCTTGTGAAAGTCTGTTTAGGGTTACCATGGATAGTATAAAGTTGTAGGGCATCGCAGGAACATAAAACTCTTCCCTGACGCCACCTACCTTGGATTATTATAGACATGAATTTATTTTCAAGTTTGGCATACTCTGATACTCAGATAGGGGAAATGAAACATTACTATACATTCTTTTCAGCAATCAAGACATAATTGGTGTGATTTCTCATTTGCATTCTGTGTCTGATCATCAAGTTGGTTTAAATGATCAAAATAATTAGCTTGCCATAAGCTATTAACTAACCTGCCCTAAGCTATCTTGATTCAATGACTTGCGTAAAGAACTTTATGTATGCCGCCCCTTTTGTTTGGCCCCATTTGATCCACTCTTGGTTTTAGTACATTACTTATCAAGATGAGTGATTTGTGTTATCTGCTTGATATGCCCTTGATCACATTGATTGAATGGAATTACTGACGCAGCATCGAAGTGCTGGCAATCTTCAAACGAGAATCGGAAGCAGTTCAAAAGAAAAAGAAGAAAGCTAAGAAGAAGAAAGCCAAGTAGACACCCGAAAAGCTAACCTTACAGAAACAATTTTGCTAGATCTGGAAGGCTGGAAGTGACAAGATCTGGTATACGTTTACCTGTGTAATTAACGTGGGTCCTGAAGAATTTAACACCCTCCAACCAGGCATCAATTTAATACCCGGAAGATTCATGTAATTCAAAGAACTTGCCCAATTATCTGGTTTAGTTTGTCTCAGTATCTGGACCTTCCATTCTGTGCTTCTATAGTATAGAAGAGAAAAGGTCCAAGGTTCATATCTCTAAGGTTGCAAACCTCCCAATTAATGTTGTTAGTTGACAGGACGAATGAAAATTCACCAAAACATGCAACATGCCTACAAACATCCCTGAACATTGGTCTAGTTTTCATCCTCCATCTTTGAAACCGGACAAAATGCATTCTTCAACTATTAATACCTTCTAGTACTACTGTACACCCTTGTCCCTGTTTGAAGGCGGTTTTGTCTGACATGGGGGTGACACATCTGTCCAGTACTCCCGTCATCATTTTTCTTTTAAAAAATGCATCTCTTATATCAGCCTCATACTCCCTTCTTCCTAAATTTATACCATGAACAACTTAGTATTTTGTTGATTTAATTTTGAATTTGGAAATACATAATTAAAAAGATGCAAATGATATGAGCAATTTGTTTAATTGAAAAAATAACCATATATTAATCATATGATTAAAAAATAATCTTAATATAATCGTAAAAATAGCCCGTGTAGTACATGGTTAGAGGCTAGTGTTTTTTTTGAAAAAAAATAATATTTTGTTAATTAGATTGTCATGTCAGCGCCACATATATGCTAAGTAGGATAAAACGACCTTTAAACTGGAGTGAGGATGTAAACTGGAGTTTTAAAGTTGTGGTAGTTGATGGATGTAAGTTGTCCAGTTTTAAAGTTGAAGGATGAAAACTAGACCAAAAGGCGATAGTTTGCAGGTACCCTATCTTTATACTCATGACCCATGAGGAAGTTAATGCATGTTGTTTAGGGCCTTAAAATGCCTATAAATTGGTATTAGTGATGTTGCTAGCACTCAAAACTTTGTGTAAACAGGGGGCATATGCTAGGAGGAGCTCAAGATGAACACTCCCTTTGTGTAAACAAGGGGCATTCCAGTGAGGCGCTCAATATGCACACTCCAAGCAGCGTAGCGATACCACTCGATTGAATATGAGCTGTTCTGCTAGTTTGTTCAGAAATATAGAGATTACTGTACATACATGTATTCATCTTATGATCGGGTTATTGCATTGTGAAACTATCGCGAGGGATTGCCACAGTACGAGGAAACCCCTCATAATTAACCAAAGAAAAATAGCATTTTTCATGATCAACCAAAGAAAAATAGCATTTTTAACTTTCCAGGATATTGCATGGTAAAAGAACAAATAAATGAACAGAGCTTCTCTTTGCAAATCACCAGTGATCGACTGAAATCACCAAACTTATACTGGTACAGACCACCAACTTTATGCAACACAAATTTGTTTTGCGTATCCTTACCAACCAACCTTGTCAGATTTTGCAAGGCAAAACCGTCTTTTAGGATACAGGCATTCGGACGCTCGATACTAACACCGAGCAACCATAGACTCTTCCCTGGGCTTAAACTAAAACTATACCCATCACTGATATATCATTTTATGATGAAACGATTGGGCAGCGAAATATACTGTACAAAGGGGGCAAACGGGCAAAACTCGCTCCATGTCATGGCTTCATTGGGGCGCAACACTGAGTGAAAAGAATAGTAGTAGAACTAGAAAAGCATACATCTATCTGGTGCAAACAAACTGAATGCAGAATGCGTGCAACCACGGTACATCGCCTGGTTCAACCACTGGTTCGTTCGGGTGACGGTCGTGAATGGCGAGATCAAAATCCGTTACCGCTTGCATCGGGATTGAATGGCAGCTGCTCCCCTGAGTGGCTAGATTTCCTTGACCTTGGTTGCTTTGGGGTCGAATATGGCGAGCTTCCATCTTGGAAGGATGAAGAAAGCCCATGAGCCCTTGGTAGACCTGTTGCATCGGCATCCAGGGAATAGCCTCTCTCAACTGTGTCCGCTTCAAGTGGTATCTCATCCAAAGTCTGAAGCATGTCACAAGGCCAATAAATAATTTAATGTTAGATCAATCAGTATGAAATGCTATTAAAATGGAAAACTTAGTTCTGACAAAACATACCTTGTATGCTTGCTGAAGGACCTTGAGGGTGTCACGTATTTGCCTCCTCTTTATGGTTATTTCATCGGGTTCTCTGAGCATGTCCGCAAAGAGGTCGTCTCTGCAACGATACATACAAAAACATCCAGCGTTTGAAATGTTATAACGGATTTATAGGGAAACATCCAGCGTTTGAAACATTATAATGTATATGAGTAGAAAAGGCTTCCCTCACCTATAAAGCTTAGTTATAAGGTAATTATGCAGCTCCCGTTTTGTGTGGTTAACCTGCAAGCGAAACAAATCCTTAAAGAACATGCAACAGCAACCCCAAGAGGAAATTTACAGACATGGATAATTAGGATTTCTGGTCAGCTTCCCTGCCACTAGAAATATGCATGAAACTGAATCATAACTGGAGAAGATATAGGCATATTTATTTGAATATACTAATGTGGCCAGAAAAGAATAAGGAACCATTTATAATTAGTGATCCATCCAATGCAATGAAAATCAACGAGTCGCATCAACATAAAAATGCTACGCAAAAAGGAGGAAATATAATCAATACTCAAGCAAAACACACAACCACACTAATAGTAAATTAGTGATCCACTTGCACTTGCTTTTTAAGAAGCAATGCTTGACAATTGTGGTAAAAAAATTGAGAAAGTGTCCTAGGCACACAAGCCTTCTCGTGTACACACCAACTAACAATCTTCACCAAAAATTCTAGAAAAAATTGTACATGTACTTTTAGTAGTATCACATTTAAGTGTAAAGTCTCATCTTCAAATTCATTATATATATGTGGAGCACCAAAAAAGACAAAATTCTGACTGATTTATACCCTTAAAACTGTAATGCTATTGGAAGTACATGTACAATGTTTTCTAGATTTTTTGGTGAAATTTGTTAGTTGATGTGCACGGTGTGTACATGGAAAGCTTGTGTGCACAGGATACATTGCCCCAAAAAATGTTATGTCTTAATATTTGTTTACTGTCATCTATGCTTACCATGACACTAAAAATAGTACATAGAAAGTCATGTTACATGTCCAGAAACATTAGTTATAATCGAAATAATGTGCCAAATAAATCACCATCCTATGCAAAGCGAGTAATAATGAGAAAAGTGAGACAACGATCACGGACCAGAAAATGCATGATTGCCTTTGGAACGAAGTCCTCAACATTTTTCCGCACTATATTGTAATATGACTTCAGTAGCAACTTAGTTATTGCTATTTCAAGCGCCTCCTGCTCAGACTGGCTTTCTGAAGGTTTCAAGACAACTGGTGGCTGTTTGACAATTACCTCAATCAATCACTCAACAAATTCAAATAACACTGATGAGAAAATATTAAGGCATTGATAAGATAGCTCACCTCTCTCAACTGTATCGTAGAGAGTGAATGCTCCAGGTGGGAAGTAGAAGCTGTATAAGATTTGTTCGATGAGTTGTCTTTTGCAGAAGAATGTGTACGATCATCACTAGTAGAAGAAAATATTGATATTGATCCCCAGAAAGATGTGCTTCCACTACCTAAAAGATGGCCAATAAACTGGGCTTACATCAAATCGCTTTATAGTTTCCCCCCAAAAAGAAAGAATCAAAGCAGTAAGAGCAACACTAGAGAAGGGTATACTATTAGCATTCACATATGTTAGCACAACAGACTTAAGATATGACATTTGTAGCAAAATTCAAACCTGAAGATCCTGGCCTCTCAGCCTCAGCAGCAGGCCGTAAACCCTGATAGTGGATGACAAAATCAAAAGAAGAAATGCCAGGTGTAAGTGCCTAACAATTATAGACATTGCAAGGGTAAAAAAAATGGTAATGACAAAAACCTGGAGATGATCTGTGACTACTCCATTTACACCAGTTCTACCCAAAAGCGCACGCGGCTTTTGAGTTTTATCAGAAGCTTGTGACTTATCAGCATCTACTCCCTCCTGCAGTATAGTACGTTAGATACTTAAGATAGTTGATAATATGAGGAATCAAGAGCGGAAATTGCAGGTGAAGGATATGAATTCCTAAGTCACACCACCTATTTTCCAAGAGAACAAATATCTAAATGTGCAAAAAAAATGATAATGCAAATTACAGAATTAAAGTATCTGTAAAGATTATCCAAATTACCAAAGTAGTGTGCAGCAAGTATAGCACAAGTCCTAACATGGTGTACACCATGAGTTTATTTAGCCATGCCTCTTACTAAATGAAAAAAGAATGGTTGAATACAAACAAATGGATATCCATTATGGTATGGGCATACCAGCGGTTATCATGAAATATGTTAAAAGTCATGGAGAGGTACTATTTTTAGCTGCTAAACATTTATTATAGAATTACATGTACTGCTCACGTAGCTCTTAGTTCCAATGGTCCTCAAATTGTGGCAATCCTCATGCAATTAAGTAGAAGCACATGTCACTTATGAAAAGATAGTTCATCTGTACATCATTCATTAAATATTGTTCTTGTTTGACAATATGCAATTGCCACAAACACAATGTACTTGGCAGTGATTCTACCATATTGTTATTAAATTGTTTTTAGAAAATCAGAACGAAAAGGAAAAGGTAATGGTGCATATGATGTATACATACTCTTCTAGCCACAGCTGCCAGTCTAGAAGACCTAACTTGCTGCTGTGCTTGCTCAACAGCCTTGCTGCCGCCGATGAAATTTGGATGAGATGTGTTTATGTAATCCGCCTGAACCAAAATAGAGTTGCAGGTTATGACAATGAAAAAGATTATAGCATATCTATGCAAAGTCAAGAGTAAATCAGGGGAAAAAAAACATCAGCTATCAATGGCCCAAACACTAGCTTAGATGAAATAGCTTGGTTTCTACATACTTCATAAATTGTGGGTCTGGGGGTCAGTAATCAGCACTATTTATGGAAGACTATATTCAAATATTGCTAGTGGCATATTTCTAAACTCCAATGGCTACCAGGAAATTTGTTAACCATTAATATCCAACATGATGAGGAATTATTACCTCCATCTCAATGATATGTGCTATCATATCCTGCGCAGGCTTAAGCCCATCCCGTAAAAACCTCCCGATGACTTCATCCATGCTCCTACGGAGCAGAGGAAACTGCTGCAGCTCAACAGCAAGACAGCGATGGCTCATCTACACAAAAACTTAAATTGTCAGTTCAAGAAGTAACAGAGCAACAATACATCAGAATGTTAGTTGATGCTGTGAGGTGAACCAGATAGATGCATCAAAAGTGCAAGTGGCATATTAAGAAAAAGCATATCCACAAAGATATACTAGGCATTAGCATACGGCAATGCCAGACAAGTGGCAAAAAAAGGTGTCAGGTCTAACCTTGACTAGCTCATCGTATATGAAACCTGCACACTGAAGGCTTGGATCAAGCAATCTGCTGATCTGCCTGCGTACAAGGACCTCAAAAGGTACCTGAGAAATGTTAGCGAAGGAAAAATTGTCAGCTTAACTGGCCATCATCCATGAATTACTCTTACAATCGTTCTTCCTAAAGTGGGATGGTATACCTCAGGTACGAACAAAGCACTCCTAGGACCAGTTGCGTTCTGTATAGCCATACGGATGTCTTCATCGGTAACATCTTCACAAGGGTCAACATCCTGTGTAAAAAGTTCTATAACTTCATTATAGAACAATGATGTGGTACAACATAATGAAAAGGTTGTAATTGAACATGCAACAAAATCACGAACCTCTAAGCTTTTTACATATATAGATTGAAAAATATAATGGATCCTTGCTCCACCACAAAGCTCAATTGTTGATATGTCCTCATTTTTTCCCTCCACCATTGAGGAGAAAGCTATAACATAAAAATGTTTCAACTTAAAATGGCACAATTTATCACATACAGCTTAAACAAAAGAATAGACACACTCCCTCCGTTTCATATTATAAGTCGCTTTGGCTTTTTTTTCTTAGTCAAATTTCTTTAGGTTTGACCAAGTTCATAAAACAATAGCAACATTGATAACACCAAATTAGTTTCATTAAATGTAGCATTCAATATATTTTGATAATATGTTTGTTTTGTGTTGGAAATATTGCTATATATTTTTATAAACTTGGTCAAACTTAAAAGAGTTTGACTAGAAAAAAAGTCAAAACGACTTATAATATGAAACAGAGGTAGTATATGATAAGACTTATACAAAAAATAACACAGGACTTTTAATCATACACAGTATTAAATGGCACAATTGACCATTATTTAAAAATTGCCAGCACAGTTAGTCATGATTCAAAAATTACCTTCACAGTACTTTGCCAGAATGTTCAAAAGCTTAGCACCTTGACCAGCCTGCAGTAAAGAAACACAGATGGACCATCAACAAAGAGGACAAAAAATTAGCTGAGAACACAGATGAATTGGCCTGATTTCATTAAGCCCTAAATAAAAAAAGTCAGGTAATATTGTTGAAAAACATTTCAAACAAATTTTATGCTTCTAACACTTGGACAAAATTTCTTTTTTAATTCAAACCCCACCTTGGACTCGACTGGATCACCATAAAAGGAAAGCTCCTTAGCAGTAGTTGTCAATTGAGAACTTATACGTGACTTCAATCCTGGCAGAACAGTCTTTATATGCTGGACCAAAATCTGAAACATACAGATGTATTTTCGTTTAAATCACAACAGAAATATGAAAGTTATCAGATTGATTACAACTGATAATTTAATTACATAAATACCTGGTTTAACTTCTTTGCTAATTGTGGTATACCACAGTACTGAGCAAGACCATTATACGCCTAAAAAGTCAAGGAAAGTGCATTTCACAAACATGTAAGAAGAAAATAAGCACTAAAGTAATAACAAAATTCATTGCAGCCTACTGGATGATTACGGAAGAAACTTTCTTCGCGCGCCAGAGCTTCCTTGATACTGAGATCTGATTTGATATCCTGCATCGCCGAGAAAACTATATAATAGAAATCTAATAACACTAAACTTAGCACTACAATGGAAAAGCATTTGTCCAGGTTATGGAGGATTACATCCTTGGTATGCTACAAACTACTAGGACAAGTTTGTAATCACAAGGTAGTATACACATCTCTATTTGTTACCCATTATTTTATGAACAATCAGCAGGCTGATGCTAGACAACTACACCATCTGGAAGCTATGGTTATCATACAGACATACAGAATGAGTTCGCTCACGAAGTCATGAGAATGACCAGAATGCAGTACCTGTTGACTGCGGTTTACCACACCAACATAGCCTAGTCGTAATGGAATCACATTTCCCAACAGAAAGTTACGAGCATCTGTGCCCCTGTCCATTATGTCCAGCTGGAAGATAATAGAAGTGAAGCCAAGATCAAACTGGGTCACTGGTATGAACACAATGCTTATTTAATCCAGACAAAAAACTCAAGACCAGGGTCAAACCTTTGTTATAACACCAATTGTTCGAGAACCTACAAGAACAATGAATCAATTATTAATAAGAAACAAAATATATTAACATGAATTATCTAATGGATTGAGTCTGTAGTGAATACCATCAGGGTCAGCATTTCGAGCAATTTGAAGAGCATCAGAATTCGATAAGTCTGCATTTGCTGGCGAAACAGCCAAGATGATACATGTCTTGTGCTTGATATACGACAATATCATGGTCCTTATTCTGGCCTCAATGTCAGTTGGTTGGTCACCAACTGGCACCTTAGTTATCCCAGGCAAGTCAACCAACGTAATGTTTAGAACATTTGGTGAGTAGATCTTCAGTCGTATCTGCTTATCTGACACACCTTTGTTACCACCCGCCTCTCTGTCTGTTTCGGCCTGCATTGATTGGGGGAATGATTAATAGTGCTCTATGCCCTATGGTACAGTTTGTTCAACACTTGCAGGCATTGGCATAACTAAACAAACCAGCATAACTGAATCAATAAAAGCATAACACAACAAATGGTACAATTTTTCTAGCATATACTGAAAAAAAAATTAAATCAAAGGTACTATTGTGCACACTTCTCCAATAACAGATTTTACATAACCACTAAACTCAGCGACCAGTTCATTCCGGACAAATAAAAGCAATGGTAATTAATCAGAATAGGATAAGCGTCACCAAATACACAGGCATATACAATCTCCACATTCAAGCAAATCACTAAGTTTAAACTACTGACAATATACCAAAGGCTGAAAGTACAAACATCTCAAAGGCAATGAACAAATCAAAGAGATTTTAGATAAGGCAATACACCCACACCTTTGAAGAAACACAAATGGACATCAGCACAAGTCACCATAAAAGCAACTATGAGAAAATATCGCCACCCCTAAATCTGAAGATGGAATATAACCCAAAAGGGTTATCCCCCAATCCAACCTGGTAGTGTTAGAATGTACCCAATTGCACTAAACCTATAGAGCCTAACCGGCATCACATACATCATAAAACCGAACAAATTACTAATGATCCATCCAAACCTGGTAGAACTACTCGAATCCCTAGCAAGCTGCCATTACACAACAACATTAGTACATTACCAGTAGACTCACGAGCAGTACAATACTAATTATTCATCCAAATCACCACAAACTATTCGAAACCCTAGCAAGCAGTCATAACACAACATTACCAGTGAACTCTCGAGCAGTAGAATACGCTAAGAGCACAAGCGAAGGTTCCAAACTAGTACCTCTATCAGTTAATCAACCATCAGAACGCCTAAATCAACATCGATAGAAGATAGAGAATGCGAGGGGGGAGGGGAACCTGGATCTCGCGGCGGATTTCGCGGAAGTCATAGAAGCGGCGGCCGGGGAGGTGGAGGAACTCGCCCCACTCATCCGCCTCGGCGTCGGCGGGGCGGCGGGGCTGGTGCACGAGCTGCAGCACGAGGGGTCGCCGCGTGCATATGTCGGAGCCCCGGGGCAGGAAGTCGCGGCCGACGAGCGCCTCGAGGACGCTGGACTTGCCGCTGCTCTGGCTCCCCACGACGGCGACCTGCGGCAGGTCGATCGTGGAGCTGCTCCCCAGCTGCGAGAAGATGTCCTGCAGCTTGTTCACGATCGGGATCACCGACGACCCCACCGCCGCCGCCGCCGCGGCCGCCGTCGCCGTCGACGGCGGCGCGGAGGACGAGTAGATGCCGTCCTCCATGGGAGCGAAGGGGTGGAGGAGGGGGCTCCGCCGCTAGACCTAGGGTTTTGTGCGGCGGAGGCGGCGACTCTGCGGCAACACGAGGGATCCCTAGATCGAGAGCTCTCGCGTGAATTTTTTTTTTTTTTTGGGTATCGATTTGAATCGGGAGGTGTCGAGGGGAAGGAGAGGAGGATTCAGAGGTGGGAGAGAGAGGAGGAATTGACCTTTATAACCCCCCCCCCCCCCCCCCCAACCTTCTTGGCCTAGGGAACAAGAAGAACGTGCTGCTTGATGCTTCTTTCTTTCTTTCTTTTCGGGCATGAAAACAACAGAATCGATGCCCGATTGTGCCTCTACTGTTTTATACCAGAGTGTTTCTTTCTTTCTTTCTTGATCGACAAGAAGTCACTGTAAATTCATCATCAGTAGTAAAAGTTCATTGGTTTATTCCGTTAGGACTAGGCCCAATTCTTTTTCTTGACTCTAAATTTTAAATTTCTTATTTTCATCAAACCGTTAAATGGTGTGATAGATGTTGTTTAAATAAATAAATAAAGTTATTTTTAAATTTTATAATAGTCAATAATTAATTAATCATGTGTAAAGAAGTTTTCTCGTTTAGTGCATTATAATTCATCTTTATCATATCAACCGCATTTGATTTCAAGGATGTAGGAAATAATCGGATATGTGCTGTAAAAATAGCTTGAGCAATAATAAAACTGTAGTTTGGATCGGGTAAAACGGGGTCTCGTAGGCAACCCGTCCGGCGACGACGACTTTCTTACTCGTGCCGCGCGGGGATTTGACTATTTGCGTCGAAAGGCGAAATCCTGACCGTCCGATCATGAGCGGTGACGATCTGAGCCGTCCGCTTTGGAGTCGAGTTCGTCTCAGTCCCCGCGGACCAGTGAAACCATTGACTTGGCGTGGCCCCACCAGAAGGGCCATGGCTGACGTGGACAGCTGGGCTGGCCCACCTGCATTGAGGGAGGCGACAACGATAATTTGGAGATTAGTGGCCTCGGAAACAGCGTGACGGCGACGTCCGTCACGGCGGCAACCCCGTTTGGAGTTGGAATGACTGTGCTCAACGCGCTAATGTTGCACTACTGTACTTCGTCTCATGGTTCTGGGCCAAGATAGCCCAGCTGATGCAAAATCTTATACTGGGCCGTGATGAGCACGTGTTGGGCCTAAACTGCTCGAGTTTCAGGAAAGTTTTTGACGGGCCAGGGCCTTAGTTGGGCACCTCTGTTTTGTTGTTCAAAAGTTCATGGCTCTTTTCTCCATTCAGAGCGTTTGATGAATCAAGGCCAAAATTTCCATTTTGAGTTTTGAGTAGTCACCTCAATATAACTGTGGAGTGGCATTTCGTTTTCTTGCTTTTCTTTTTTTCTACTGGCACTTGTCTCACTTCCCTGTCAGATTACTGACCTATGAGGGGAAAAAACACTTGTGGATTACGGACGGGACAAGTAATCTACTAACTTCGTCAAAACATGGACAGGTGGCAGCTATGATTGTCATCTGAATTGAAAATCAATTTGGAAAAATACTGGATCCATCTCGCCCATTGGAAGACGAATTATTTTGAAATATTTTGTGCGCTTTCATGAGCAAGGCCCACGTGATATCATTTTGAGAGTTGTTGGCGAAAGCAACTGGCAATGGTTCAACGATGGCATGTAGCCATGTACTGTCATGACAACAAGTTTTCTCCTGTTAAGCATTCAAAAAAACAGTTGCATCGGCCACACTGTATACTTGTACAGGACAATTGATCATTGATGTGTCCATCTGTGAAAAAAAATGGAAAAAAAATCAGAGAATCATACACAGATGATTACCATAAGAAGGAATGTACTTGCACAGAACATGTTTACAGTCAGAGAATCTGAAGAAAATTATCAATGCTGACCATGTAAACTGTGTACAATAAGCACACAATAAGAAGATTCTCTGATATACACATGGCCCCAACAGTTTACAAATGCATGCAACCCTGCTTCTGAAGAGCACATTCCCATTTCCATATCAAAAACCCCAAGAGGGATTGACTTTGTACAAGAGAAGTAGCTAGAGACGCACATGCCGAGAGGGAGAGGAGAAACTGCGGTCATATCATGCACCAATGCTCTAGCAACGTGTGACCAAGTAGAATTGGTCTCATTGGCTACTGGCGACTTATTTTGAAGAGATCAACGTCCAAAAAACCGAAGTGTTAAGTAACACGCCGAGCAGTTTCCCTCGCACGCTTCTTCTCCCTCTTCTCCTTGAATCCTTTAATTTGCTCCGTTTCTTGGCAGTGGCCAGCCAATGATGATGGGTGGCCAGCAGAGCGCGCTCAACCAGCTGGTGTCGTTTCTCCTCGGGGTTTCGGCGGCGGCCGTGTTGATCTTCTTCTTCTCGTCGGCCGGCGGCGGCTGGTCGACGACGACGGACTTGTCGAGCTGGGCGAATGGGACTGTAGCGGCGACGGCCAAGGAGACCAACCTGACGAGCACCGCTGCTCATGTCGAGGAGAAGGCTAACCTGACGAACAGCCAGGTCTGGAATTCAGATTAGTATACAAAACTGTAGTTTTCTGTGTGTTTAATTTGTCTGAAATTTTCTTGGCTTGGCAAAAGTTGACTTGAAAATTTTGACCGTGCAGGCGGCGGCGGCGGAGGCGGCGAAGGAGGAGGAGGAGAAGGAGCTGGAGAAGCTGCTGGCGGCGGTGGCCGACGAGCACAAGAACATCATCATGACGTCGGTGAACGAGGCGTGGGCGGCGCCGGGGTCGCTGCTGGACCTGTTCCTGGAGGGGTTCCGCGCCGGCGAGGGGATCGCGCGCTTCGTCGACCACCTCCTCATCGTGGCGCTCGACGACGGCGCCTTCCGGCGGTGCCGGGACGTGCACCCGCACTGCTACCGCCTCGCCGTCGCCGGCCGCAACTTCACCGACGAGAAGGTGTTCATGAGCGAGGACTACCTTGACCTGGTCTGGAGCAAGGTCAAGCTGCAGCAGCGGATCCTCGAGCTCGGATACAACTTCCTCTTCACGGTACGTTACAACACGCTACGTAGCAGTTGGAACAGTACTACTACATCTTATAAATTCACAAAAGGACAAAACAAAAATTCGTACTACTAATTTCATTTCACAAAAAGGTCCTCCACGTACATAAGCACATTTTCTAAAAGCATCCTTCTAAAGCATATTCTAGATGCATACTCCCTCCACGCCAAAATATTACAACGGACAATGAATCTAGATAGAACATCTATCTAGATTCATTGTACTGAAAGACTCATATTAGATTGTAACATTTTGGAACAGATGGAGTAATAGATTATGTAATATTACGAATTATCACCATATACGTGCTTAATTACTAAGCTTCTAAACGTTGCAAAAATTTCTTTGAAATTTAAAGTACTAATTTGTAGTAGTATGTATTTCAAATAGTGCCTTTTTAATTCAACTCACTAAATATATAATGGTTAAACATTGGGTAATTTATCGATAACGCACCCCTTAAATATGCAAATATCGCAATATACACGCAGGACGTGGACATCCTGTGGTTCCGTGACCCGTTCGAGCAGATGTCGATGGCGGCGCACATGGTGACCTCGTCGGACTTCTTCGTCGGCGGCGCCTACAACCCGGCCAACTTCCCCAACACGGGGTTCCTGTACGTGCGGTCGAGCCGCCGCGCGGTGGGGGTGATGGAGGCGTGGCGCGCCGCGCGGGCGTCGTACCCGGGGAGGCACGAGCAGCAGGTGCTGAACGAGATCAAGCGGGAGCTGGTGGAGCGGCGCGGCGTGCGGATCCAGTTCCTGGACACGGCGCACGTCGCCGGGTTCTGCAGCAACACGCGCGACTTCGCCACGCTCTACACCATGCACGCCAACTGCTGCGTCGGCCTCGGCGCCAAGCTGCACGACCTCCGCAACCTTCTCGAGGAGTGGCGCGCGTACCGGCGGATGCCCGACGAGCAGCGCCGCCAGGGGCCCGTGCGCTGGAAGGTCCCCGGCATCTGCATTCACTGAAGAAAAAAACAAAAGGCGGTTAGCTTGTTAGTGTAGATGGGTGTTTTTCACGAACACGTAAAAAGATTGTACGTGTATATTCACTGCCACGCGTGCTGTGAGGAAGACGGATGGAAAAGAGGAGGGGCGGGGGGTCTATACGTGTTCTTAAATTAGTTCGGTGTTGCATTATCAATTGTTTGCCTGGCCAGGTGTATAACTGAGCTGAGATATATATTCCAATTGTTTTTTCGGGTACCCATAATTAAAATCCATGTTGAGAGATTGAAACTGTTTGTCGGGAAAAGCCAGCATTTCTCCTTCCATCCAAATGTCTCGGACGTATTTTCTTTTATCACCAAAAAAAAGAAGCAATCAACTCATCCCGCGTACAACAAAAATTAAGGAACTATACACATGTATGTAACCAGTAAGTATTAAGATGGATGCTCAAGTTCTGATCAACGATTCAATCTAGCACCACAGATAAGAAGTCTTGGGTGCATAGAGGCTACCAATATACCCATCTCATTTAGAAAGACCAGAAAACCAAATATGCATAAGACTTTTGGTGAAGGAGTAGATAGCTGTGCACATTTTGTCCGCTACTGAACAAAGCAACAAATATAGTATGTATTAAATGGCCCGCCAGAAAAGAAAAGGTAAGTATTGAAGTGCGAAAATTCTTATTTTTAGAAGTTTCTTATTGAAGACTCTTTATGAGCTTGCACTGTAACCGTTTGGTATATATAGCCTTTTTCCTTTTTAACAGCTATTTTTTTATTTCATACTGTTGCCTCTATTTTCTACCTCTAATTATTCTCTCTCATCTTTTAGAACTCCATAATTCAACTTAGGGTTCATGTCACACGAAAGAATGGTTGTGGCCCCTTAGCGCAAGCTAGAGAATTTAAGATCAACCTTAAAAAGTTACATCGCCACTTTAGCTCAATCATTCATATAACATATGAAAACTTATGAGACTCGGTGGCTTTGTATATATTAGGAAAAGAAAAGGCCATAAAAACCCTTCTTGATGAGGGCTTAAATTTGGGTGTTTTAGGTGTATATCCATACCCAATCAAGTGAGCTAGCCTCAATTCATGAGTCCAAATAACGAATGATATATCTTTTCAGACATTTTTGTGATGACCACGGGCATGACTCATATCTTGTAGCGATCTTTTAGAGGCGTCCTTGTAATTTACTTCCTTTTTTAAGACATACCTGTGGACGGGTGCTAGTGTGTAGCGCCCGTTCCGTCGTGGCGCCTAGCGGGAAAATTATCTCTTAAAAACCCTAATTGCGAAATTTGTTTCTTTGCTTGTTGTCTAGTGTCCGTGTCATCTCAAGATCTCAATCCCTGATCTATCGTCGGGTCCAATTCCGAATCCAATCCTTCCAAATCAATTCCTCCGCAAAAGTCTATTTTGCCTCCCCCGGGGGTCGATGGGCCGATTTCCTCCCGGCCCATCTCCCCCTCTCCCCCTCTCCCCTCTCCCCTGGCGCGCTCCCGCTCTCTCTCCCTCTCTCTCGCTCTCTCTCGCCCCCTCCCCTTCCCGGCGCGCTCCCTCTCCCCTCTCCCTCAGCCCCGCTCAGCTCCGCTCCGCCTCGCCCGCGCGCCGCGCGTGCGTGCGCGAGAGCCGCGCCGAGTGCTCCTCCTCCTCCGCTCCGCCCGCGCGCGTGCGCGTGAGCCGCCGCGCCGAGCGCCCCCTTCCCTTCTCCTCGCTCTGCCGCGCCTGCGTAAGCCGCCCGCGCCGAGCCAAGTCCTCCCTCTCCGCTCCCTCGCTGCCGCTTCCCGCACGCCGTGTTCGCGTGCGCGCGCCCGCGCGGACGCCGCCCGTTGCAAGCCGCGCGCGCGTGCCGAGTGGCCGACCGCCCGGTCGCCGCCGCCGTCAGCCTCTGCACGCGTCTGTCGCCCGTGTCGTCGCGCCGCTCCAAACCGCCCGTCGTCATCGCCGTCATCACCGCCCGGCCCCCGCCACTCCGCGCGCAAGCCGCCAAGGGACGGAGGCAGCGCCCCTCCTCCCTCTGCCGCGTCGCCCCCGCTCCCCTCCTCCTTTTTCCCGAATCGGCAAAAGGGCAAGCCCCTTTCTCCCCCTCCTTTTTCCCCTTTTTCCCCCGCCGGCGTCATCCTCCCTGTCGCCGCTTTGGTCGCGACCGCCGAGCGCCAGCTCGCGCCTTGACCGCCCTAAGTTGGTTCCCAAACCGACATTGCCGCCCCCTTTAAACCCCAGCTCCTTCCCCTCCAATCTCCCTCGTTTTCGCCTCCTCGCCATAGCTGCCGCCCCCGTGCTCTGTTCGCCGTCGCCGTTCGTTGTTGCGCGTGTCGAAGGAGTCGGCACGAGCAAGGACGCGGAAGGGGACTTCGGCCGCGCCCTCTCCTTCCTCTTCCCCAGCCCGAGGCCGGAGAGATTACTCCCGCGCCGTCGGCCTCTCGTCACAGCGCCCCTCCTCATCTCGGTGATGCCTCCCTCCATTCTTCCTCCTCGCTCCATCTCCTCCCCCTAGCTTTCGGTAGTAGCTCGAGTAGACTCCCCGTAGTTAGCCGGCGCCGCCCCGACCGTTGCCGTCGCTCGCCGTGTGCTCGCCGCCGTCGCCGCTCGAGCTCCGTAGCACCCACACGTCGCCAGCCTCGCTCGGCGTAGCTCCGTCCAATCCGACGCTAGCATCGAGTTCCCGAAACCGCGTAGATGCTCTCACCGCCGGGAATCGACCCCTCGTGGCCTCGCCGCCGTTTCCCTCTTCCCTCCCCACCGGTTGTCGCCGCCGCGATTCGCCGCCGTCAAGCTTCCTCCGGCAAATCCGAGCCGTTGGCTCGTCTCCCCTCATCACGAACAACCGCCCGGTGTGCTAGCTTTTGCCCGTATCGCCGTGGTTCGCTCCACCGCTCGCCGCCGCCGCCCACCGTCCATTCGCGGCCGGGTCGTCGTCTACCTCCCGCCGGCCCGCGTGGCAGCCACGTAGGCGCCACGTCGGAGCCAGCTTAGCCTAGACCGGGTCGAGCCGACCCCGGTCAGTCCCTCCCCGTGCGCGCGTTCCACCGCGAGCCGTGAGGCTGCGCGTGGGCCCGCCGCATCCGCGTCCACCGCGAACCGTGCGCGTGCACCGCGTCCCTCCCCCGCCCGTGCGCATGAGCCGCGTACTCCCTCCGCACGGTGAGCCGAGCCGCTGACAAGCGGGTCCCACCCGGGACCGCGCATGGTGAGCCCGGTCCACCGGCTCTCTCTCTCCTCCCTCCCGCGCGCGCGCGTCTTGGGCCGCCTTGGGCCACCTTCTTGGGCCGGCCGGCCCGTTAAGCTCGGCCGAGCCGCCCTTTCTCTCGGGCCGCGCCCTAGCTGCCCTTTCTATCGGGCCGCGCCCTAGCCGCCCGAGGGAAGTCTATATTCCCTCCCTCTCCCTTTTTCTTTTCTTTTCTTTTCCAACCTTTAGACCAAAAATCCAATAATCTTAGAAATTCAATATCTTCCCAACCGTAAATCCGTTTGACTCCGTTCAAATTCCAAAATTTCTCAAATCTCGAGATCTATCTAATGGCACGCTTAGAGGTCATTAATAGGGCTTTATTTTCGCCGTTTGTTCAGTTGTCCCGTTTTGCGTATAGTTTCGGAGCCCGAAGACCCGCAGTGCGAGGATTTCGAGGATCAAGCTCCAGATCTCGAGCAAGGCAAGCCACCTTTGAACATCTTGAGCCTATATTTGAAATCTAATTATATTGCTTGCAAAATATTATGCATTGATAGGATTGCACTTAATCTGTTGTTCCGTCTGCAAGGCAGATTGGCAGACCTACCTAACTTGTTGCATTTGATCCTTCCATTGTTAATTGCTATACCATGTCCCCTTGTAACCATCCAGTTGCGCCTCGATATTCGTGCACCCTGTGCCAGTATCGACGGTCGCCTTCAAACTTAAAATCTGAGTAACAACTTGGGTAAAACTGGAGTTTTACAAAAGACTTGGAAAACCCGACACCTGGGTCGGTGCTTGCGAACTAAATGAATTTCCAAAACCGCGGACCGGGAAACGTACCGGGTGTACGGTTTCCCGCTCTCGCACTTAAGGACCGATTCCTTGTAATTTCATCCAAACATAAGACAAGTACGACCACATGGGTGGAATGGGACACCCCTGGCTGAGTAACTAACTTATCAGGGGAGCCTTGATGCCGAGAGACATGTGGATTCGCCGGGGTGGTGTCGGGGAGGACCCCTGGGCTTCCTGGCACAATATGGTCTGGGACCTAACCTGTTGTTGGTCTGGGACCCCTCTCGTCGGCATATGGTAAACCTGTGTCGGCTTTGGAAATGCCTTGTCATGAAAGCTTGGAGGTCTCCCGACGTGGCTGATCCCCACGGGCTGGGTGATCCGGGTTAGTAATGTCGTGTGGGTAAAGTGTACCCCCTCTACAGAGGTTAACAAACTGTTCGAACAGCCGTGCCCACGGTCATGGGCGGATGTGAGGTGATTCCTAGCGTAGTTTGGTTTGACTACTGCTTGTGAAATTGCTGTGTGAAAAGGGGTTCGGTGTTTGAAAAATCTGCAGCTGATGGGATCAGCTAGGCCCGGGTGGCCGTTTGAAAAGTTGTTGGCCCGGGTGGCCGTTTGAAAAGTTGTTGGCCCGGGTGGCCGTTGAAAAAGCTGTTGGCCGGGTGCCAACCTTGTTTAAATTCTAAAGACTGATACATTGCACATACTCCGACCGGACGAGACGCACTGTCTCACCCGTGTCGTTTGAGAAGCACTCACTTAGTTGTTTTTAGAAAAGAGCTCAAATAAAATCAATTGCAAAAACAACAGCCTTTCTTTGAAGCCTGCATTAAACACTTACTTCCCTTGGCTTACTGAGTACTCCCATACTCACCCTTGCTCTATATAAATAATCCCCCCCAGTTGCTGAAGAAGATGAAGCGGATCCTGCTGATGAGGAGTTCTTCCAGGAGCAAGCCGGCTACGATGAGTTTTAGGGTTTCGGCCTAGTTCCCAAGTCGCGCCTGTGTTGATTGGTCCAAGTCCTGGCTTCCGCTTTCCTTTTGTAATGCAGTTGTGAGCTCGGGATCTGTCCGCAGCCCAACATGACTGTACATCTACTCTATAATAAAGAGACCTCTGTTGCTGTGATATTCTGTCTCCCTGTGATACCAGCACTGTTTCCTGGGACTGGTATCGATTAACAGGTTAATTTGGAGCGTCACGGGCTAGTTTCGGTCGGGACTAGTTCGGGGCGTGACATAGTGCATGCAACCCTAATCGATGGCAATAAACGACCGCAATAGCTAAGCCAATGAGATTTATTTTTTGGTTATCCCAAAAATCGAAGGGGGTTGAAGGGAGGAGGCGAAGGGGGTTGGGCTTAGAGGGATGGTAGGGGAGGCGGTAGAGCCAAAGCCATAGCATCGGAGAAGGCAGGGAGAGGGAGGGCAAGGTCGGCGGTTGTGACATGAGATCAAAAGTGGTTAGAACTTATGAGTGGAGGTGGATGTGGAGGTAAAGGTGGTCGCGGCGGCATGAGCCACCAAAGATGAGGAAGAAGGCGGGGGCACCTCACCACCACTTTGGCTTCGGGAATAGTGGGGAAGGAGGAAGAGTGGGTCATCTAGCGGGCCTCATCGGCCCTGGCGTAGGGCGAGGCACATGGAAGAGGCACTGCAAGGTAGGGAGGTGGCCTCATGCGCGAGCTCAAGATCTAGTGGTCGGAGACGTGCGCTGCGACCATGGAAAAAGGAAAAGAAGAATATTAGGTTAATATACTTTAGTCGTGATCTATATTGTCAAAAAGCTTTAAATTTGTAAATATTTTTAGGTGTCTGAAAACTAGATAACCTTTTTTCTATAGTTTGTTCATGCCGTTATAATATAGGGGCATCAGAATAATCAGAGTAGTCGTCTTAGATTTTTCTTGGACTAATGATAGGTATCACACAGTAATTTTCCTAAAAGAATGATAGGTGTCACGCACTTGATAATTAGCAGAAAATAATGTTATAGAGAACAACGGTTTTCAACTTTTCATCGAGGAAAGGTGTAAATATACAATGCATTGAAGAAAAAAAATCCTGATCGATAAGCATTTAAAAGCCAGCTTGATTCACAATATGGGACATACGTTACTACAAACCATAGAAGATAGTTGTAAGTTTCTATCCCATATATATAATTAACCTGTATCATCATTAGCTGTATTCTGCCAAGTTCATAAAAACGCCCTATAAAAAAAATCCCAGGCTTTGCGCGTCTATTCTGCCCTTTCTCCAACTCTTTTTTGCTGAAGAGTTTTGCTCTCCGCGGCGCGTCGCCATGGAGATCAAGGGCAATCTCCGCCGCTTCTTCGTCTTCCTCTTCGAGCTGTGGCTCGCGGCCACCCTTGTCCTGGTCCTGCTATGCGTGCTCGCCAACACGGGGGGATCGCCGGAGATGCCGGCGGCGGCGGAAGTCTGCAACTGCAGTCAGATTGGAATCGCTTCTTCTCGCATATCAGAAGAAGTTACTGGTACCAGCGGTAATTCCAACGAGGTAATAATGCTTTTGTACTCGATCTCGATATGTATGGTGATGTTTTTTTTCTTTTTCTTTGTTCTGTTTAATTTTGTGCTCTGTTGTATGGTTCTGTACTTCTGTGTTAGTTCATGACAGTAGCAATCTGCAATCTTCAGTTTCATATACCATGTTTCTTACAGCCCCAAATGATTAAATCTTATATCTTGTCTTTGCTTAAGCAGAAAAAATGTTTATTTATGAAGAGGAACCATAAGTACAATTTTTCGAACCATTAGATTTGCGCGGCAAAAGAAAGGCTTTCTTTAAGAAGGGAAACACGAATCTTTGATCACATCTAACGGTTAGAAAATTGTATTATATCTTCAAAAGTAACGGAAAAGCCCGCGCAATCGTACGGCTATATTATAGAGCGTAGCTGTATTGTTTATGTCTCATGATCGGTATGATTATAATCATGGTCTATTGATCATATTTCTGATACGACTATAGTTAACACATATTATTATAATCTAGGCCTGTTAAAACAAGAGGCGCATCATCGTTTTTTCTCGAGATAGGTATTGCGTATTTGATAATTAGCAGAAAAATAGAAAAACAAATGGCATATGTGACAATTGTTGAGTAGGAGAAAGGAGTAATGCAACATTTATGTGCATTGACAAAAAGGGAAAACAATGATGTTATTCCGATTACCATTAAAGATCCAGATTTTATTCCACAGACAACATTCACATGTGACAAAATCACAGAAAAAGAAAAGATCAACGTACATATTTAGTCCTTACCTTCTTTTAGAGCTTATATAATACTGTATAAATAAGTATAAAGTGAGGTTGATTTCAGTTCAGTTTTGCAGGAACGTACGGAAACCACTTCAAATAGTCATTTTTTTGTGCTTAATAAGAATAATGATGCTTTCATCATATATATGTGAATATGCCACCTCTCAAATAGTGCTGAAAAGATTCAGTACAGTACTTCCCTTCACAAAACACAGTTAGCTAGCTCATTAAAACAGTCATGATCCTACTTCCTAGAAATGAACTGTTAGCCGTGTACATTCATTTAGGATGAAGAGGTGGGGTTATATAATCCATTATCAAGAAAACAAATAGAGATTTACTCCGATCCAGCAAAACAGTATCTTGCTCCACGTAGACATGATGCCTATATAATCTGAACACACAAGTACTGTTCTGAAGAAACTCTGAACACTCAAATATTGATTCAAAAATTGTACTGCAGTTCTCATTTAGGAAGTGAATAGCTACACTTCAAAAGAATTTATCCTTTTTTACATCTCCAATCGACACCCTTAATTTGGATTTCAATATTCCAGTCAAGTTTTGCAGATTTAGCTGAGCTTCTGCCCAAGGTGGCAACCGACGACAGGACGGTGATCATCACGTCGGTGAACGAGGCGTTCGCGCGGCCAAACTCCCTCCTCGTCCTCTTCCGCGAGAGCTTCGCCGCCGGCGAGAAGATCGCCCACCTCCTCGACCACGTCCTCGTCGTCGCCGTCGACCCCGCCGCGTTCCACCACTGCCGCGCTGTGCACCCTCACTGCTACCACCTCAAGGTGGACACCATGAACCTCAGCTCGGCCAACAACTTCATGAGCGAGGCCTACGTCGAGCTCGTCTGGACCAAGCTCTCCCTCCAGCAACGCGTCCTCGAGCTCGGCTACAACTTCCTCTTCACGGTAATGATCAAATCAACCTCGCTAAGATGTATCGTTTTCTAAGCTTCAACTTTTTATTTTACTTTTTCTCCTTTCCCCTGGCATAAGCCGGTTTGGCTAATTGCGTTGTATAATTATAACTCTTTTCTTCTAATATATTGACATGCAATCATTTTACGTGTTCGTGAAAAATTAGCAAGATGTATCAGTTTCCTCTTCTAATCAGGAACTCAAAGATCGATCGATTCAGCTAATGGTGCGATGATGATTTCGTGTTGTAGGACGTGGATATCTTGTGGTTCAGGGACCCGTTCCGGCACATCGGGGTGTACGCCGACATGACGACGTCGTGCGACGTGTTCAACGGCGATGGCGACGACCTGAGCAACTGGCCCAACACCGGGTTCTACCACGTGAAGTCGACGAACCGGACAGTGGAGATGCTGCGGCGGTGGCGGGCGGCGCGGGCGAGGTACCCGCCGAACCACGAGCAGAACATCTTCAACTACATCAAGCACGAGCTCGCCGCCGGCCTCGGCGTGCGCGTCCGCTTCCTCGACACCGCCGTGTTCGGCGGCTTCTGCCAGCTCTTCCGCAACGACATGGCGAGGGCGTGCACCATGCACGCCAACTGCTGCGTCGGCCTCGGCAACAAGCTCCATGACCTGAGGAGCGCGCTCGACCAGTGGGCGAACTACACGAGCCCTGCGCCGCCGGAGGGGAGGAAGAAGAAGAGCGGCGGCGGTGGCGGCGACCGCCGCGCCGGGTGGAGCGTCCCGGCCAAGTGCGGGACGCCGGACAAGAGGGGATGAGTCCGGGCCGGCGGCCGGTGTGGCGCGCCGCCGCGGCGGCGCCTGTAATTCAGGGAGACTAGCAAACGAGAAGGAATTGATAGCTGTTGCGCTGTTTGTAGTATTGAAAAGATGACATATGATGCAGCTAATTTGCTGATAAATTGATTTGTCATTTGATAGATCTTTCAAATATGAAAGGTAAGTCCGCCCATGCCCTCCTCCATTTTAAATTACTCAATCAGTTCATATTATAATTCATTTGATTTTTTTTCTTAATTAAGCTTTTTTAAGTTCCATCAAGTTTATAAAAAAAATATACTAATATTTTTAATAAAAACAAAACAACTTTTTTTAAGTAGACCCATGCCCTCCTCTGTTTTTAAATAACTTACGCCGAACATTGATTATTTCTAAAATTCTATCACTCTTTTTCCGCAAAAAAATAAAACTACAAAATTATACTAGTGTATTGTTAAAGTTTATTCCATCCTATATGGAACTTTTGTTCGTCTTAGTTTGATCATTTAGGAGTTACTACTAACATTTATTTGAAAATGGAGGATAATATATTGACGTGCGCGTTCCGGATAATACTACAGTCTACATGTACATACTTGGGCACTATTTTTTTTTCTTAAGGAGATCTTACGCTTCAAGCGCTAGGCTCCAGAACTACGCCCGTGATCCGGGAGATCGACGCTGTATATACATGTAAACTACTCATTTTTTTTCTTTCACGCTTAGCTTCGAAGCGTTTGTTGGCGAATCCAGGGCCACGTGTCAGATAATTGTATAACCGGTTTCAGAGTAAGTCGAGACCACCATTGAAAAATACCGAGCCGTGTTACGGGATCAGCACTCAAAGATACTGTTCATTCTGGAGAAAACAGATTGACACTTCACTCAAAGGCAAAATTTCCAAGTCAAATGTGCACTCGAGAAATTAAGTCCCCGATCTGGTCGTCGTTTGGAAGGAACCCTGCTCTGTTTTTAATTATACAGCGATATTGACCTTTGGACGTTATATTTGACAATTCATCCGTTTTATAGAAAAGTAATGTATAAATATGAAAGAAATTCTGAATGTACAGATATGAAAGAAATTCTAAGTCATGTTTAAAGTATCTTTAATAATAAAATAAATCATAACAAGATAAATAATACTTCATTTAATAAATTTAATTAAAACAAATGATCAAACGCCATACTTTAAAATTAATATTGATGTACTTGTATATCTAATAAGTACTACACTCTGTCTTCGAATATAAGAGGCTTTTTATTTAAAAAATATAGGAAAACATAAGAGATTTTTTAAAAAAAAACATAGGAGATTTTGACCCTGTAACTAGATGATCAAAATTCTCTAAAATTTTAGAACAGAGATATCAGATGAATAATAGCATTTGCTTCCGTATATATTGGAGCTCTGTTCCCCATGTACTTCCCTCCTGGGTTGTTGGCGCTTGGCAACATGAGTGGCCATTATTACCATCACCTGACCTCCTTCCTCCTAGGAGCTGTTCTGCCCACCGTGCTGCTCTTCTTCCTCGCCTCCGACCGGGTGAGCGAGCGGCTGCCCACCATATCGAGCTTGGGCAATGGAGCTCTCGTGATCGGTGGCCGTGCTACTGCTCGAGAAGGTGGTGACCTCACAGGCGTCGATGGCTCAGCACCTGCCCCAGCAGAAAAGGTTTGATCGATTTTATCTCTGCTGTTACAGTGGGGAAAAAAGCTCTGTGCAGATTAGTATTGTTGCTGGAATTTTGTGATTTCATTCTTTTTAACATTATTGATGTTAACATGTTACACTTACGGAGTTACGGCCTTACGGGCAATATAATCATCCTTTGCTACACCGTTTGCACTTTACACCCGTGTTGTATAAAAGCATTTCATACTTCGCGCTTTATTTCCTGCAAGATATGTGAATGAATGTGTGTCCTGCAAAATAGAACGTATATATTTCATGAAAACAATGTAGAGATGATGATTTGACATAGCTTTGGTTATGGGCTAAACTAGGAATGTGTGATGAGAACATTAAACTAATAAAAACTACACGTGTGAGCGATTATTAGCTCGTGTTTCCTTAAGCTTTTGCTGGTGGGTTTTTTAAGACTTGTTTATGTGCGCTAGTTTGCGTGAATTTGGTTGTACCTCGTTGAGCAAAGACCGGGATTTTATTCTATTACATAATGTTGAGTTCTAAAAATACAAGAAAATTATAAATAATATGTCATATTTATATGAGATTTAAAATACAATAGATAATAATTATTAGTGGGTGATAATATGCCATACCTGTATATTGAGCTTAGAGTTAGTGGGTACCAAATACCAACTATAAATATGGTTATTTGTAAAATCCAATTCTTTTCAACCCAAGTAGAAAATGTTTATTCCCCTCGCAAAAAAAATGTTTATTCCTACTTGTCAAAAAAAAAGGGGGGAAACCGATCTTTTTTGTGTTGTAATTGAACAAGCAGAGAGTTTGTGCGGGCCTTGCATTTAGTCCAGGTTTCTTCGGCAGTGTAGGCTCTAGGTTTATAGGGCCACAACTGGGCCGCTACTCGGGATTTCGGTTATTTTCTAAAGGAAAAAAATTCTCCATATTGCGTTGACCCAACTTGACCATCCGTGCGCTACGTGTCGTCGTGGCAAATCTGCGACATGCGCAGGAGAAATTCCCCGGCCTGGCGGAGCTGCTGCCGGAGGTGGCCATGGAGGACAAGACGGTGATCATCACGTCGGTGAACGACGCGTGGGCGGCGCCGGGCTCCCTCCTCGACCTCTTCCGTGACAGCTTCCACAACGGCGACGGCATCGCCCACCTCCTCGACCACGTCCTCGTCGTCGCCGTCGACGCCGGCGGCTTCCGCCGCTGCAAGGCCGTCCACCCCCACTGCTACCTCCTCGACGTTCCTGGACACGGCGGTCTTCGCCGGCTTCTGCGAGTACCGCCCCGACGCCGGCAGGGTGTGCACGGTGCACGCCAACTGCTGCGTCGGGCTGGAGAACAAGGTGCTCGACCTCAAGAACGTGCTCGCCGACTGGAAGAACTACACGGCCGGCCTGACGTCGCCGGAGAAGAAGGGTGCCAACAAGTTCAGGTGGACGTTCCCGGCCAAGTGCAAGGCGTCGTTGAAACGGCACTGACCATGAAGTCCGGGAATGGTCAAAGATTAATTATTCTATACATAGGTTAATAATTAGCCGTGGATTATCAAGGGTTTTGCTCCAATCTGTCAATGTGGTTGAATGTGTCACAGTTGCAGGTTTTGACTCTTTATGTACGCGTACTTTCCCAACATTTATATTTTTTTTGTCAAAATAATATTTAGCACAAGTCTGAACCGGAAGCTACTTGTTTCTTCTTCTCAGTGGCGGAGCCAGGATAAAGTTATAGTGGGGGCTCCTCAGCCTTTTGGGCCTTATAACAATCTCAGATAAAGTCTATTTTAACCCCCCTACAATAGATATATGGATTTAAATTTTAGGATGTCTTAAAGGGGATTCTAATAGTTTATTGGGAGGGGGGGCCTCCGCCACTGTTCTTCTGATGGTATAAACAGACCAAAATACACGTGCAGAAAATAGTACTCCAACTCATATATATATTGTTTACTCTAAAAGGAACTACTATAATTTTTTCTTTTGCTTCCAGGATAAATTTAGAAACTTATATAGTTTAACGTCATAAAATTTATATTCTTAGGTTCACGTGTAAGAAATACTTTCACAATATGTAGTTTATAATTAAGCTGGTAAACTATGTGCATTTTTAGAAAATAAGGGAGTGATGTTACAAATCTTGGACAGTTCGAATAAATAGAACTCCAGCATTTTAGAAAAAAAAAGGGATAGGAAATGTGTGCGGCCTTGCTTGGGTTAATGACGGGTATATATATTGTAATGAAGAAATACATGCACACGCTGACGCAGTTGCGTAACGTGCCGCCTAGCTAGCGAAACGGCATGCAGGATGATGGAGTCGCCTTGTTGATCAATCACAAAAATCTTTTGACAAAGTAATCCATGGCCTGGTCAATCAACCCAGCTACCATGCACGAAACAGAGACGAAACATATTTGCAGGGAGACAATTGCCAAGCTTCTTATTGCGCCCTCTCTCTCTCTCTCTCTCTCTCTCTCTCTCTCTCTCTCTCTCTCTCTCTCTCTCTCTCTCTCTCTCTCTCTCTCTCTCTCTCTCTCTTATCTGTTCATCACGATCGATCAGCCAGCCACATTTGGTTAGAGTTTCAAAGAGAGATCGAGATATATATGGGGTTGAGATTGGGAGGCAGCATCATGACGATCAACCGGAGCCACGTCGTGTCGTTCCTCGCCGGCGCCGCTCTGCCGGCGTTGCTGCTCTTCTTCCTCGCCTCCGACAGGGTGGGCGAGCAGCTGGCGATCGTGTCCAGATGGGGGGTACAACGACGGTGCTGCCCTTACTGATCACGAACTGCAACAGGTAACAACAAGAACAAAAAAAAAAAAACGTATTCTTGCTGATGGATGCATATATATGCACGTGCATGATGCGTGGACATATCGATCGCCTTTAATTTTACTTGATGGCTCGCAAGCTCTTCATTATGCGTTGCCAAGGTTGGTATATAGTCCACGTTGTGTATGGCTGCACGTACGATTATAAGTACGGATGGATTGTGTTGGGGAAAATAAACAGAAGAAACGAACGATCAGCTAGCTAGATTTAGTTGGCAAAATGGAGGTTGAATGATCGACCAGCTATTTTAGCTCTCATTCGCTCGGAATCGCTCCGAGAATGGAAACTTCTCTTTTCATATCACCTTCTCTCGAGACGACACCACCTTCTCTTTTCATATCACTTAAATAGTTATAATATTTTATAACAAAATAGATTAATATACCATATATCACTTCATAAATATAACTCACATTCAATATCTACAAATTATGACAAGACGAATAAATTAAATTTCAACTAATAGCATGTGTATATTCGTAGTAATTTTTTTACAATGTGTGGAGGTGAAATTTAAACTTACTTATTTATGAAAAGAGTGATGCTCCGCTGCTTTCTACCAGTATTATTATGGGTAAATTAGTAATTTACTAATACAATGATTAGCAATTACTTTATCATTTTTGTTTGTTCTTTGACTAAATCGATCTAACGTTTTAATCGAATCTTATTCTAAACATTAATGTTTAAATATTTAGGCCTCTTTGATTGAAAGGAAATTCATAGGAATTTTAAAGGATTTTATTCCTATAGGTATTTTTCCTATATATCCCTTTGAATCAAATGAATGAATCCTATGTAATCCCATAAAATTCCTATGGAATACCTATTCCCATGCAAGTTTTGGAGGAAATTTAACATGAGGTTCTACCTCATGTTAAGAATCCTTTTAGGGCCCCTTTGAATCAAAGGAATTATACGGAAACAACCTGCGGATATAGGAGGAGTTCCGGATAAGAAAAGACAACTAGAGTTCTACATGGAAACGATAAGGACTACTTAGATTGTATCCATATTTGTTTCTCTAGTTCTACTTGTACAAGGGAACACCTATGGGTATAAATACAAGGCCCTATACGATGAGATGGGGGACAATCAACACCCACCATAACATACACGGAACAACATAAGCCACAACATACAAGCCAACATACGCCAAGACAAGTCGCCGGATATCGACATCAGAGATATGCCTAGATCGACCCTATCTGGTACCTTCAGAGGCCGGCCGTAGGGATCTAGCGATGTCTCTGATCTCGCCGGGCACGGATTCGAGAAGGAAGACTACCCTGTTGTCGACCACGAGTCAGACCTTCAGACCGCCATGCCGACAACAGTTAGATAGGCTACCCCAAATATTGTACTGGTGTGATTATGGTGAATAAGAGCAATACCGGCTTCGGCCAACGGGATGTAGGGTTATTACCTGACAATTCAGGGGCCCGAACATTGTATAAAAATCCATGTCTCCATCTCTTTTATCTCAGTCTCACGTATATCCTAGTACCAACGATCCCCATACTATGCAAATACCGGAATTGTGACATCAAACGTCGACAATCTTGATAAATTTTTAATTTTTTTTGAATAATTTTTAAATGTTATACACAAAACGACGGGTGCCTCCGGGAGAGACAAAAATCCACTTCCGTGATATCTCTACTCTTACTGCATCTGTAATTCTGCATGAATTCCGGCAACTAGCTTAGCTAACAAACTGGTTAATTGGTTAAATATAATACTACTGAGTCAATGGTTGTAATTAACAGACTGATTAATTTTCACCGGAGGTCAATTGTTGTTTTTTCACTCCAACCCAATCTTTAGTCTTGTTGCTACTACCTCCGTCCCAAAATACTTGTCGCTTTAAGTTTTTAGTTTGTAACTTTTGATCATTTGTCTTATTAAAAAATCATGAAATTATTATTTATTTTTTTGACTTGCTTTATTATCAAAAGCACTTTAAGTATGACTTATCTTTTTTACATTTGTACTAATTTATCAATAAAACGAATGGTCAAACGTTAAAAAAAATCAAAGCGACACTAATTTAGGACGAATGCATTATACTGCTTCTCATAAAATAAAAAATATTCATCCAAATAGTTCAGTTTTTAAAATTTTGAGAAATTGTCATTGAACAATCAAAAAATGAACTACGGAGTAGAAATTAATCTTTATGCTTTCTCTTGATTCTCACAAGCTGGGTTTTCACCGGCAGCTTAATTAGAATCTAAAGATCTCCAAACATTCCCTTTGTCATTTTTGTTCATCTATGCGTGATTGTACTCGTCGCCCTCGTGCATCCAGTTGAATCTCTATATAGCGCAGGTGATCTGCGCAAATACAAGTCCAAACCGGAGGCTGCATTGGTGTATACTCTTCGTCGTGTACGACTTAAACGGATTAAGAGAAGTCTTCACATTGATCACCTACACCATTGACTCTTGACAGAGGTGAAAACAAATTCCACATGACCTAATCAACACTCAAAAGGCAGAGCGCGCTGAGTCGTTTAATTACCGCGGGCGGGCACGAGGAGGAAGAAAGTGAGAAAATACACGCAAATCCAGACATCGTAGCCATGATGATTTTGACGTCAAAGCCATCGAGTTAATTAGTTAGTGTTACCGCCTTATCTTTTCGTTTATACTTTGAATTTTAAATTTAAAGTTGATTTTTGACTTTTTTTTATCGTAGTTTATTTTTTAATATTTTTTTGATAGTTAAGAATATGTATATAAAATTTGTATTTACAAATTATTTTTTATTTGTAAACATATCGTTTTGTTTTTTCCTCCGATGGGCTCTCTTGATCGTCCTAGCTATTGGCCAATCCCACTGTCGATCCTTTTGACAAAATAGATTCTCATATATCCATCGTTGAATCGAGAACCGTACGTAGTTTAAGTAGTAGGAGTACGTGGCAATGAAACAGTAGTTAGCTTAGCTAGCTAAGTACAGCTCTGCTGCTAAGCTCTTCATAATTCCTCTCTTAGCCTTTCACAAGTACTCTAGAGAGCAGCAGGGAGAGCGAGATGGGGTTGGGGTTGGGAGGCGGCGGCGGCATGGCGATGATCAACCGGAACCACGTCGTGTCGTTCCTCGCCGGCGCCGCGCTGCCGACGTTGCTGCTCTTCTTCCTCGCGTCCGACAGGGTGAGCGAGAAGCTGGCGATCGTGTCGAGCTGGGGGAGTGGTGGATCATCGTCGGCGGCGGCGGCGGATCATGATCTCAGAGGCGCCGGTGGCGACGCTGCTCCTCCTCCTGCTCAACAGGTAAGAAACTAACAAATTAAATTGATGGATTAGTCCAGCTTCATTAGTTACATGCATGCGCGATCACCTTTTCCTTTTGTGTATTTTCACCCGAATCTATCTTCGCCCTTGTGCCCGGGCAAAACCCCTTAATTTGGTGATTTATGGCTTGGCTAATTCTGGAGAGAGTTTATACGTTGTTCTTTTGCTACAACAAGTTTCATATCGTATGAAATTGTTAGTTCTCATATGAATTTTTTTCAGATGAAAGTCTTTCGGATATGTACGTTGTTATAACGTGACGTTGTTGAGCACGTACGTAGTACGTAGGATATGTCGGCAGATTGCACCGTGCAGTAACGGGCCAATTTATCCCGACCTCAAACTGCTGGTTCTAGTGGGCTTTTTTTGTCTAGCTGTTGAGCCCATCATCCAGAGGCAGATTTTGTTCAGCCCATGTAGATTGAACGAGCCCATGGGCCATGGCACCCTGTGCAGGAGAAATTCCCGGGCTTGCCGGAGTTGCTGCCGAAGGTGGCGATGGAGGACAGGACGGTGATCATCACGTCGGTGAACGAGGCGTGGGCGGCGCCGGGGTCCCTCCTCGACCTCTACCGCGACAGCTTCAAGAACGGCGAGGGGATCGCCCACCTCCTCGACCATGTCCTCGTCGTCGCCGTCGACCCCGCCGGCTTCCGCCGCTGCAAGGCCGTCCACCCCCACTGCTACCTCCTCCACGTCAAGTCCATCAACCTCACCTCCGCCACCCGCTTCATGTCCAGGGAGTACCTCGAGCTCGTCTGGACCAAGCTCTCCCTCCAGCAGCGCGTCCTCGAGCTCGGCTACAACTTCCTCTTCACGGTAATGTACAAATCTAATGGAAAAAACTATTCATCCTCTAAGGGGTATCCCTCGTTTTTGCATGTCACTTATAAAGTCATCAAAAAATTAAAAAAAATAGTATGATAGATCAATATATGATATGCCACTTCACAAACATACATATTCAAATTCAACTTATACCAATAAAAATAAAATTAACAAATTTGACTATGAAAAGAACACGCAATTTTAACACGGTCAAACTTCTTGTTTTTTGTTTTGAATTGTATAAGTCGAATTTTAACTTGTATGTTTGCAAAAAGATATATCATATATTGATATATCTTGATAATTTTTTTCAGTTTTTTTAATAACTTTTTGAACGCAATGTACAAAATGAGAGGATGTTTCTTCGATGGACAAAAATCCACTTCCAAATCTAGCAAATCATTGAGCTCTGGAGATCATCAATGGCGATCGATTTGCTGAATTGATTCTGTACCATGTTAATTAGGACTGTGACATGGTGTTGTTCCGTGACCCGTTCCGGCACATCGCGGTGTACGCCGACATGAGCACGTCGTCGGACGACTACTCCGCGGCGCGGGCGCCGCTGGACAACCCGCTCAACACGGGGCTCTACTACGTGAAGGCGACGAGCCAGAGCGTGGAGATGCTCCGCTACTGGCAGGCGGCGCGGCCGCGGTTCCCCGGCGCGCACGACCAGGCGGTGTTCGGCCACATCAAGCACGAGCTCGTCGCCAAGCTGCGGGCCAGGATCGAGCCGCTCGACACGCTCTACTTCGGCGGCTTCTGCGAGTACCACGACGACCTCGCCCGCGCCGTCACCATGCACGCCGACTGCTGCGTCGGCCTCGACACCAAGGTGCACGACCTCACCGACATCGCCGCCGACTGGAAGAACTACACGGGCATGTCGCCGGAGGAGAGGAAGAAGGGGGGTTTCAAGTGGACGTACCCCACCCGGTGCCGGAATTCGATTGGATGGCGTAAACCTGTTCATCCCTAAATTGTCAAGAGAATTAATGGTTGAAGCTAATTTGATGTCACTGAAATTGCAGCATTCTGTTGTTGTATGAACTATATGTCAATCGACAATGAACCTTAATTATCAATTGAATTAACACTAGGACAATGTAAGAACTGAGCTATTCTGGAATAAATCTGAATAAATGAGAGGTTGTTCAGATGAAGGGAAACTATGATGCCTCTGATGTACTTGTGCTAGTATTGAACTATACTCCCTCCATTTCAAAAAAAACCTCAACCTACGAGGAATGTAATCCCTCCTAATACTACGAATGAGGTTTATCCGAATTCATTGTATTAGAAGAGGCGTAGGTTAAGTTTTTTTTTGGAGAGAGAAGATGCATGTGTATTTTATGTTTGGATTGAAGTCTGTGAAGGCATGTACTACTATCTTTTTTCCAAAAGAAACAGATTCTGAATTCTGATAGTGGTGCTGGCTACTTTAATCATTTTATGGAGGCAAAAAAGGTACAGTTTTGAATAATGGGTCATCTTCCGATTCTTCCAGTTCCAGGGACCTGTTGCCAATTAAATGGATGCCAGGAAATCAAATAGGCTGGTAATCAAGCTTCTGTCAACTCTGTCTCTTGTGTTGCTTTCTTCTCCGGATCGATGATTGTGACGTGAAGAAACGTACAATAATACAAAAGGCCCAACTCAACCTCATTTTACTTCCTCTGAACTGATGAATGTGACGTGAAGAAACAAAATGAATAGAAAATGCTCGACTAAATTATTTTGCGTTATCTCCAGAATCTCGAGTGTGATGTGAGGCTGGAAAAATAATAAGAAATGGCTCGATCAATTTCTCAACCCAGCTGTATTTTCTTACGCTTCAATTCCAGTGACTTTCAGAGGGACCATCTGACAGTTCAGTTGGCCTTCTAATATGTGCACTGAAATGATTTGTTCTTCCATGATTCGCCTGCTCTTCAATTACACAGGTCAATTCGGTTTTCTTAGTGACCAACTTGCCCTTTTGCCTTATCCCACCATGTGCAGAACTGCAGCCTGTTACTCTATGTGGTTTGAGCAGTGTCGTCTGTTCATATACAGAGAAAAGTTCAGTTGTGAGGTCACCCAAAATTCACACTGCCTATCAATGGTCAATGGGGATAGAGGATCTGTCCCTTGCTGTGTCGGTTGTGTTACTTGTGTCCACACAAATAAAAAGACGTGAATATTAGGGAATAAACTTATATCAAATAATTACAAAAATGAGGCTTTGAACCCAAGGCGTCTAGCCCATCATCTTATAGAGCTAGCCGGAAGATCTCTATGCATTTTTCACTTGTGTCCACACAAATACTTATGTGCATTCCTCTTGCAACAATCAATAGTAGTAGGATGGTGCAACGGCTATCAAGACATAAACATCTCTTTGATCTCTGTTCTTTATGAGTTCTTGGCATACAAAAATGCCCAACAACCATGCGTGCATGTCGATGTCTGAATATTTTCGGGTGGCATATCCTCTGAAGCTTCTGCAGCTACAAATTAAAAGAGGATCTCTAGGCCTCAATGATGAGAATAATTTGATCACGCACATCAGCTCATGATCTCAATCCTCGTCTGTTTTTTCTCACGAAATCTGAACGGTCCATCGCTTGATCGACGGCTAGGAGACGGCGGTGATGGTGCAGGAGACATGGGAGTTGGAGGGCGTCCACGAACTGGCAGCTGTCAGTTTCCATGAAAAGTCAAGCTCTTGCAACAGAGCAGTGTACAAATACAGATTGCGACCTCCCGGATTACAGAGTTTTTGCTCATGCGAGGAAGTGCAGGCATGGCGAGCTCCAAGAATGGCCTATCTCCGGTGGTCGTCTTCCTCCTCGGCGCGGCGTCGGCCACCGCGCTGATCGTCTTCGTCTTCACCTCGACCGCGAGTCCCGCGTGGCCGACGCCGGAGGCAACTCCGGCGACAAGGCAGGAGAAGAAGGCTGCCGCCGTGGCTTGCGCTCCACGGGCGAAAGGGATAGATTCAGAGACGCGCAGAGCAGCAAGAACTAATCAGGTAAGCTGTTCTTGATATGCGCCATTGTTAACCAGCCGAGTCCAAGAACTGATGAACTAATTTGTGAATTGTGATGATTTCGCACGCAGACCGGCGGTGGGGACGACGACGACGAGTTCGCGAGGATGGTGCGGCGGGCGGCGATGGAGGACAGGACGGTGATCATGACGTCGGTGAACGAGGCGTGGGCGGCGCCGGGGTCGCTGATGGACTCGTTCCTGGAGAGCTTCAGGGTGGGGGAGAACATCTCGCATTTCGTCGAGCACATCGTGGTGGTGGCCATGGACGAGGGCGCGCTCCGGCGGTGCCGCGCCATCCACCCGCACTGCTACCTGCTGCTCCCGGAGGTCGCCGGCCTCGACCTCTCCGGCGCCAAGAGCTACATGACCAAGGACTACCTCGACCTCGTCTGGAGCAAGCTCAAGCTGCAGCAGCGCGTCCTCGAGCTCGGCTACAACCTCCTCTTCACGGCAAGCTCCACCCATACATAAATCTTTTCGTCAATTCTAGTAGGCGTCCATGATTGTGGGAGAAACACGAGGCGTTGACGACGAGGAACACGACGCGCGTTGGCATTGGCAGGACGTTGACCTGGCGTGGTTCAGGAACCCGATGGTGCACATCACGGCGGCGGCGGACATCACGACGTCGAGCGACTTCTACTTCGGCGACCCGGACGACCTGGGGAACTACCCGAACACCGGGTTCATCTACTTCAAGGCCACGCCGCGCAACGCGCGCGCCATGGCGTACTGGCACGCGGCGCGGCGCCGGTTCCCCGGGGAGCACGACCAGTTCGTCTTCAACGAGATCAAGCGGGAGCTCGCCGCCGGCGCAGGCGAGGGCGGCGGCGTCGGCGTGAGGATCAGGTTCATCGACACGGCGGCGGTGAGCGGGTTCTGCCAGCTGGGGCGGGACCTGAACCGCATCGCGACCGTGCACATGACGTGCTGCATCGGGCTGGAGAACAAGCTGCACGACCTGAGGAACGTGATCCGGGACTGGAGGAGGTACGTGGCGCGGCCGCGGTGGGAGCGGCAGATGGGCAAGATCGGCTGGACGTTCGAGGGCGGCAAGTGCATACACTGATTCGTGCTGACAAAGCTAAGCTAAATAATCGCTCCGTTTCAGGTTATAAGATGGGTTAAACCTTCGTTAAAGTCAAACTGCTACAGGCTTAACTAAATATATAGATAAATATAGAAATATTTCATTATCAAATTAGTTTCATTAAATTAATAATTAAATATATTTTTATAATAAATTTATCTTGGATCGAAAATATTACTATTTTTTTTATAAACTCGGTTAATTTGAAGTCTTATAATCTGAAATAGAGGTCGTAGATTTTAATATTGCTCGGGGTTATACTTGAATCGTGCTCGAGGTTTGATTGCCCTGGAGAATTGGGATGGCATGTGGGACGGACGGTGGAGGATCGATGGATGGAAGGAAGAAGCCTCTCCCCATGTTGTTCGTTCAATTTCATCTCTGTTTGTTCATATCTCAGGGAGTAGTATTAGTTCTGAACACATTAAATTGATGTACTATAGTTTGCACATGGGGGTGATTTCGCCAATAATCAATATGACACTCTCTGGAGACTGGAGCCATTCATACAGAGTGTGTGATACAGTGATACTCCTTCTGTCCTATAAAATAAATGATTTATAGAATGAGTATACGCGTTTGTATATGAGCGTTTACTTTTATTTCGTGTTTTGAAAAAAAATCATTATACTACGCATACACATTATTAGTCTGATGATTTATTTCCTATGTTTTAATTAGCTTTGGCGTTGTGTGGATTAGGATAATCTCATTTTGTGTTTGCTTTTGTCATGGGTGCTCGATTACCTGAACTTTTAACCAAGTTAGCAAACGAAATATTGCATTGCAGAACATGTACTTCCTCCGTTTCACAGTGTAAGTCATTCTAACATTTCCCACATTCATATCTATTATATACTTAAAAGTCCATTAAACTTCCTACAAACACTCCTAAACCGCCACATGACGTCTCTACAAACGCTCCTAAGCCACCAAGTGGCACTTTAATAAATTATAAAGTTTTGAAAAAACATCTAGCCATTGATTTTCATTTAATTCGGTGGGTCCATATTTTTAACGGTTAGATCTAAAATACCAAATAGATTTATCTTTAAAAAGCTGCACGTCCATAACAATCCCTCCCGAACCTGTACGTGCACGTACGTACATACCTCATACGTGCCCACCCCCTTCCCTTATTTTTTTATTTTCTTTTTTTTCTCTCTCATGAGATAAAAACCAAATTAATAATTTCAACTAATAGTTGTAAAAATATATGCTATTTTGAGTTAAATTCTACAATACGCACGTCATCAAAACATCCATAAAAATCTAAATAAATGAATAATATGCATTATATAATTGTATGTTGTATAGTGAAATTAGACTTACATTTTTAAAAATAAAACAACTTCAGTTGTGAGTAACATTTCCCAAAATTACTCTTTCCCAAAATTACTCACTCCCTACTATAAAAATAATTGATATATCAAAATAATATTACTAAATTTATCATTAATATATTTTCACGTATTGTGAGTTATCTTTTTTTATATATCATTAGAAATTAAGGATCAAATATATTCTTTTCAAATCGTGTCGATGTCTTTTATCTCCTACTTAGGTTTAAATCGATTTAGCTCATTAGGTGGTTTAAATCGATTTAGCTCATTAGGTGTGCTTATCCAGGACGTGCAAGATGATACATGTCATTAGCATAGGATTAATTGGGTATTAAATATTAAAAAATACAAATGAATCTATTTGATTTATTAAAAAACTTTTATATAAAAAGTTTGTAAAACACGTACTGTGTAATACACCGTATAGTAGTTTGACAAACGTACTCGCTATAAATAGGGAGTAGTTAATCCTATAAGCACTTTACAACACTGCCTTAAATTTATTACTTAGGTATTAAAAACTTAATATGTAGTACGCAATATAATTGGTCAATATCCTAGCCTAAAATATCAATCGCATGTCATCACTTATCCCCATATATGTAAGTTTTATATATAGGTCACTCTTTACTAATCACTAAGTCATATCACTTACAAGATATTCGTATACAATGCACCTAACAGTTAACTGATATCTAATGAGCATGTATGTCGTCAAGCACCGAAGATAAAGGACAATACTAAGTGTGCAACGATCAACAAATGATAGGCAAGTAGAGGTTGCATAATCCACCATAAACAATAGTTGACTACAAGTAGATTGTGACTATGGGTAATAGAATTTCTATACTCCTTCAAACGCTTCTAAGATGTTATGTGACGCTCTAATTAGAGAGTATCTAGGAAAACTATAAAATAAAAGAAAAACAACTATTCATCTATTTACACCTCAAAATTAGCGATTCCATTATTTTCAACCATTAAATTAGATCTATGACAATAATCTCTCTATCTAAAAACCGTCTAATCTCTCCTTACGTACATACACAACTTCTATGTACATACATACGCTAGATATATATAAAAATAATAAAAAAAGAAGAGTGCGTATATGGCTGTCCCATATGGTAGTTTTCTCATTCGTTCTGACTATAAGGTTTATTTTCTAAATTGAGCATAGATGTTGTGACCACTTCTAGCAAGGTGGTAAAATAAGCCACACCATGACACCACCTCATGCCACCCGTTGCTCCACCCTCTTCCTGTCAAACTTTTTAAAGTATTATTTACTAACAATGTAAAAGGCGATCACATGAGCTCATATAAATCCATGCAGATGCACACTATGAATAGAAAAATGTACATCATATTCCTATGATTGACAAATAATCATCCAAAAAGAAAAAAAAAAGGAAAAATAAACATCCACACGAGAGACTACTGTTCTCTAGAAAAAAAAACATAGATGTAACTACATTATATCTCTTTTTATGTCTTTCTCTACAAATAGTGTTAACAATTAGCACAAATAATTTTAACAAATTTCATTGAATGTTAGTCCCATGAATATGCATAGGTAAATTAGATGTATAATAGAAGAAAAAAAATCAAAACCTATATTAACTTGTATGTTAGCAAAAGATCACAATTTGACCAAATATTTTTTTAGTGGTCATCACCACTGAAACTATTGGATTTTTCAAAGTAGAGTCCAATGATCAACTCTGCTAATCTTTAAAAGAGAAAATTATATATGTACCACTAAAATTTAAAATTTAGTAGTATCGATTAACACCATAAATAAATTATGTATACTCTATAAAATAAATTGATTCAAAACATTTAAAAAATATTTTCATCACCTGTATTTTCTCTTACTCATACCCTAAAGGGCGCCAAGCATGGACCTCAACTGGCTACATTATAGTAACTACGGCAAGAGTACGCATTATTGAGCAGAAGTGGTCCGAGTAAGAGGTCACCATTGATAATAGAGCTCAACTAGCCTACTTACCGATGCAATCCTTTATAAAATAGTGCTCCAAGCTTGTCTTGAGGAGCACAACTATATCAATAAGGGACACATGAATCAAGGCATTGGAGAAAAAAGGCTTAGCGGCTATAGTCGGCTTCACTGGTTATTAAAGGGATATTCATATATAAGTTAATGATTTTATCATATTAATTAATTATTAGATGTGGTATTTTTAAATATTTACATATAGATTCGGATACCTGTAAGGTATGAGTACTTGCGTATGAAGTACATATGAATTTTATATGGTATTAATTATGTATTGGGTTTATTTGTGGATAGAGATGCAGTTCTAACTATTAAAAAATATCTATATTTCAAGACAACGATAATAAGTAGTGGTGATAGATGAGGGCAAAAAGATTTTTGTTTGGATATGATGGACATTATTATAATTTAGTATGTCAAAATTTATGGTTTATTTCTTATAGTGAATATGGTGAGATAATGCTTTTTTAGGTTTTTTTTAAACAATAAATAAATTGCCCGCGCAACTGCGCGGGCTTTCTTCCTAGTAGATGTTAATGGATGTAGATATATATATCTATCTAGATTTATTAACATCAATATAAATGTGGAAAATGCTAGAATTACTTACATTGTGAAACGGAAGAAGTAGGATGAAACATGATGGATGCACATTGATAACAAGCATTGAGAATCTTCATTTTAACAGCGATTCATTTTTTCTAAAAAAAATCATCGAATATAGTGAACAGAAACTAGTACTCAGCAGTCAGCACCCCGCAAAAAAAAAAAAGAAACTAGTAGTACTCAGCAGTGAAGGCCTCGCTTAGATAAGACCATTAAGGCCTATCCACGTGGTGCCCCAAGAAGGATTGAGGCCACATGTGGATGGGCCGAGATACTGAGGCCCATTAAAACGAGGCCCGAACGGCTGAACATGGTCAATTTTCCCTCACCCGATGCGTGGAAGGCGTAATCCCAAATTACATTTCAAGCTGGAACTACTCGTATCCATCACCGGAAGGCGTATTTTGATAGTTACGCCTATCGAACGGAAAGACGGGACTAGTGTAGAAACAACCCAAACCCCTCGTCTCAGTCTCCCCAAGTGGCGGCGAGTCCTCGGACCAAACCAACCAGAGACGCGGAGATCGCCGGGATTTTTCTCCGATGAGCGGCGGCGGCGGCAGCAGCAGTGTCCGGCGACCCGTAGCCGCCGCCAGGAGCCGCTCAGGTCCAGAGCCGGACGCGCGCCGGGCGGCCGCCGCCGCCGCCGCCGCCGCCGCAGCAGCAGCGCGGCGCCGTGGCCGCGGCGACCATGGCCCCCTGCGGCTCATGGAGGTGAGCCCACGGAACCTCCTCCTTGTAGGGACTGCTTCCGTCGCCCTCCTCGCCGTCGCCTTCGTGGTGTATACCGGCGTGTGGCAGGGTAAGGCGGATGGGGAGGTCGAGACGCCTCTGCGCAGGGCCGTGCGCTCCGTCACGCCGCTTGACGCGCCCAGGATGATGGATCTGCCTCAGGTGATGACCATTAAGTTCGTCGCATTGTTTCTTCAAGCCTCCAATGCTCTGTGAAATAGCTTTAGATTACAATCTCGCGCGGTTGTAGTCTATTAGTGCGCTTCTGCTTAATCTGCTGCAACAGTAGTAGTTAAGAACTTAATTGAATTGTGTAAAAATGCTAGGAGAATAACGGAATCGACCACTGCTTGTTTGGATTTTACAAGGGCTGCTTTATGTTTGAACCACATAGTGGATACGACTGGTTTGTCATAGGTAAAATGAATATGAATTGTGCATAGCCGCAAATGTCATCTGAGCTAGGACAGACGACCTAAAATGTACCAGTTTCTGTTAAATATCCTCCTGTAAGCTAGTTCTGATTGATTTATACGTAACATCATGTTATTCCATACTGTTGAGTTTGGATGGTAATTATGGTTAGCTTTCTGATGGCTCATAGTTGACTGTTTACAGTTCCAAGGAGATCACAAGGAAAGCTTGTATTGGGGTACCTACAGGCCGAATGTATATCTTGGAATTCGTGCAAGGTGCTTAACTTTGATCTTCCCCTTGATTCTTATAGCGTGCTAATTTAAGCAATTCAGTTCTCTTAGTCCACCATGGCATGCTAGAAATATGCAGGGAAGTTCATATTGCTAGCATCATATGTTTTTTATGCTTTAAACACTTCTATGGAGTTTTGTTCCCATTTGCTTAGTCCATATGTGTCGAGAACAAAGATGTTGTTATATTTCCTGCTTGATTCCTTGAATGCGTATTGTTTTTGTTTCTGGTTTAGAATGTTGCCACCTTACCACCTCATAGTTGGAATTCTATTGCTGTATGATGATGATATGGTGGCACTCTCAACTTCTTGCTAATAGTATTTCTATTTCAGAACCCCGTTGTCTCTAATTGCTGGGATAATGTGGATTGGTGCAAAGAATGGGCAATACTTTCTTCGTCATGTTTGCCAAGATTCTGATGAGCTTAGCACATATGGGTGGACAGATCACAATGGGAGGGATTATGGACATCAAGTGTTGGTTGATCATGGCTTGTTGTTGACCACGAGTTTCCTGAAAGAGAAAGGAGAGGGTAGCGGTTATGGTGGAGATTGGGCAGTTCGATTGAATGCGAAGACTGATGGGTAAGTGTATATTTGTCAGTTACAAAACTGAAAAGTTTTTTTTACTGAAGAGATGTAAACAATTTTCCAGTTTTAAGTACAAGGTGAAAAGACCAATAAATTTTACTGGATTGACTTTTTCATTCCCTATTCACAAACCAGGATGATATTAACAATCATTTATTTGCTACCTATATAAAGTTACCAAAGGAACCAAAAGAAATTTATTCCATGTAGTTATACTTAATTTAGGCCAAGTTTAAGTGAAGACCAAGAAAGCACCACACACCTGTTTTTCTACATCGCGGATGAAGCAGGGAACTCAATCACTATGGATTCGCATATACCTTCGTCAAGAGGTCATGTTCTTTTGGCATCTGGATCCCGTGAGGAGATTGGTGATTGGAAAGTCTATTTGAGATCTGAGGTAGCATATTTCAGTATGCTCGTCACATTGTTGCTACTATTTTTTTATTTTTCTATTTTACTCGCTACTGGTATATAGCATTACAATTCCATATAAACTGATGTTAATATTGACATGTACAGAACTGTGTTTTTCTCGCAGGAAAATTTGGAAATTCACAGAGCTGGATTCAAATCAATTAGTATGCACAATCTAAGTGACCTAGTACAGCAAGCCCTTGCGACTAATGTATGTCTTAGCTCCTTACATTTACCTTTTTTTTTGGGGGGGGGGTCAAAAACAAGTCTCAGTTTTTTTTTATGAACTCAAGTTGCCATTTAGCTGCTCCTGTGTACCTTTCTAGGCAATGCAAAGTGGGAACCTTAACCTTCCAGACATGGCAGAAGATTCTTCAAATGTAATAGTATATCAGGTGCGTCAAAGATGAAAAAGAAAGTTATTCTGTCAATATGAGAATCCAATGAGTCAACGTACACCCAGATTTAAATAGTGTTCTCTTCCGGCATTGTGATCTATGCTCTCTCTCATCTTCACAGGTTTCCATGAAACGTTCTGCCGAAGTCGACATAGTCTTCTTGTCAGGGGCCGCCTCAGAAAACCCAATGATTGAAGAGCGCATTAACAGGCTAACAGGTGACTCTACTGCATAGCTCATACTGCATGGAGATAGGATATGTGATTTTCCTTTTGTTCTATTCATTTTGGGATGGCAATCATGCCATAGATACCATGTCCTCCATAATTTGGTATGCATAGGCTCTTGACCTTTTCTTTTGCTGCCTTGCATTTGGTATCCATTCCTTTTTTTTCCTTGCCTGCATCTTTTCCTTCTGTTGAACCTGAAATTCAGAGATGTTGAAAGCAATATTTCATCTTGCTTGTTGATTTTATATCACTAATGTTGCCAGGTCCTGTTCTGAGCACTCGTCTTGAATCAAAACAGAAGGATTTTGAAAAGAGATATGACCAAATTTTCAATGCAAATAATAAGGTGTGATCTCTTGGATGAGCTTTGTAGTTTTGACAATCTTCTTTTAGCAGTCTATACAGTTGTTTTCTTCTCATTATGCTCCTGTTCCTATGATTATATAAAATTGCTATTGCGTATAAATGATAGTGTCCTTGCCATTTTGTTCAAGTCTGTACACTTTTCATAGTTGAAAGAACCTTTAAAAGCTATTTTTCCCCTGGAAGATAAGTAGTGTGACTGGCTGCATAATCAGAAGAAAGTTTGTGATGGAGCAGTTGATATTATTGTTTCACTGATGCAGATTAATCCCAAAGAATTATCTGTTGGTGTTGCTGCTTTATCAAATCTTCTTGGTGGAATTGGCTATTTCTATGGGCAGTCAAAAATTGCACTTCCAAAAGGTTTTACAGTAAGTTTTAGAGTGTTACCTGATAATTAGATCCTTTTCCTAATAGCTATTGCAGCTGAACTTTATGCTATCTGATTTAGTCCCCCCCCCCCTTCTTATTACTGTGCTATCTTTTGTAGATCTGATATAAATCCTAGGCGATTACACATCACACTCAAACAAAATCTAATGCTTCAAGAGTTTCCTTGCAGCAAAAAAATGGGGATAAATATATCCCATATTGGCCAGCTGCACTATATACAGCTGTGCCTAGTCGCTCATTCTTCCCAAGGGGATTTCTATGGGATGAGGGCTTCCATCAGTTAGTCATTTGGTAAGCATTTCATCGATCTTGATGTGTAGCGCAGGGCTTCTGCCACTATATCATCACTCGCTTTTTTTTTGAATCTGTGCTGGTATTATTGCTGCTTGTTTAACACATCCTTGATGGTGATGTATAGGCGCTGGGATGTGCATATATCGATGGATATAATTGGTCACTGGTTAGATCTAATAAATGCGGATGGATGGATTCCTCGGGAGCAAATATTAGGAGCTGAAGCTTTAAGGTGGTTCCCCTGGCGAGCAATGAACCATTGTCATATCTAGCTATGAGTTTAGAGTGTCAGTTCTTATATAATCTGTTTTTACATTTCTGCAGTAAAGTTCCTGAGGAATTTGTTCTGCAGTACCCTTCCAATGGAAATCCCCCAACCTTATTTCTTGCACTGCGTGGTGAGACAATGCTTTCTTCCTTGCTCTTCACTGTCATGACACATTAAATGCAGTATAGCAGTACTGTTGAGAATCAAAGTATCTAAATTATCTGACTTGAGTATATCTCAGAAAATCAAGTTACCACAAAAACATTATTTTGCACTGTTTTCAGTGCGTTTGTCTCAAATTTATAATATTGAGAATTTTCACGCTGTCTGCGATTTTGGTTTAGCACAACAAGGTTGCTACTGTATGGAAGTGCATAAACTGTGATCGAACATCCTATTGAGTTTAACTTGCCACTTTTTGGTACAGATTTGGCAAGTGGAATACATGCAAACCAGTTTTCAGATGAGGAATCTGAAAAGATATCCACTTTCCTTAAAAGGGCTTATGTAAGGCTGAACTCTTGGTTTCAGTGGTTCAATAGCACACAAACAGGTGAGTTAAGTTATGACATTTTATGGTCCATACTATTTATTAGGAACTTGGTAACCAATGATGCTTGATTGCTTGTGAATAACTGCAGACAGAATAACCTGCCCTCTTTCTGGCAAGTATGGAATTTGTATGGATTGGATCTTCACTTTAATTTAGGCCTATTATTATGTTAATTAATGTTCAGAAAATACATGCCTGAACACATGAACATGATGAGCCATTAATATCTTACTTTTCAGTAAAAAAAAGGGTGATATTTTGGGGATGCATGCAGTCAGTGTATCTATTTATAGCTTTATAAATATTTTGATTGGATATACAAATATGACATGTTCACATTTTATGAATGGTTTGATTGGATAAAAGAGTACTATCATAAATTATAGTTTTATCATTTTTTAAGTGTACTATCATATTTGTGATTTGTGAATAGGATTGTGACCAGCAAAATTTTCTGGCCGTTTTGTCTTGCAGAAGCTACTAGTTTTTGCATCAGTTTTGGATGATGTTAGTCTTCAGATATCCCTGGCACTCTATATTTTACATACACTCAAGGCAGTGCATGCTATATGAAATAATAATTTTGATCGTCAACTTATTCAGTAGTCGTTGTTTCACTCATTTACTGTTCCTGGACGAGAGAGTTATGAACCCAAATTCCTGACTCTTTAGAAAGTAACTTTAATTCACTGCCACCCAAGAGGAACCATGCAATTGAGATGTTCAAACTTACTTAGCGAAGGGAATAACCTTCTGCTCCTGTGCTAAGCAAAATTTAGCTTAGTGTCATTGCAAACTATAGCCACCATTCCACATAGCTAGAAATTATGCAATTACTGTTATCTTTACCTTTTCCATCACCTTGTTGATTGTTTTTTTCCTTTTTGGCGGACATTGTTGATTGTTATGTCAATGAACATTGGCTGTACTTTCCATGTGTGGAATAACCAATATTTTTGTTTGTCATGCCAACTTTTTTCACCTTCGACTTATCTATCCTATATAGCTTCTTTGACTTTCAAACTTGTTTTTTTTAGGGAAATACGAAGGCACCTTTTATTGGCATGGAAGAGACAGCATGGCCACCAGGGAGTTGAATCCGAAGGTTTTGGAACACTTCATAGTTGCTTTCTTCCACAGACTAATTGGTCCCAAATAATAGCAAAAGAAATTTGTTTTTGAGCTTTTGTCATGCCTACATTACAGTTTATGTTTTTGAGCTTTTGTCATGCCTACGCTACAGTTTCTTGCCTTGTCTTTCTATGTCATTTCTACTAACCGTTCACTCCTGATGTTGCTGACTACTCTACAGACTTTGACATCTGGTTTGGATGACTATCCACGGGCATCTCATCCTAATGATGAAGAGCGCCATGTTGACCTCCGGTGTTGGATGCTTTTAGCTACGAATTGTATGTGCTCAATTGCAGAGTTTCTTAAAACAGACAGCTCTCTTGAGAAGGTACTGCAGAGTGAATGGACTGTGCCTTATGCTTTGTCTCAGCCTTTGGTTCTCTTGAAAAAAATCTGTCTTGAACTTCTACAGGATTACTACAAGATGTCAAATCAACTTTCAGATTTTGGGATACTTAACAAGGTATTGCTCTGAGAGTTCTGACTGTTTCTTCTTGTTCTGAGCTTTTGTCCTTTTTAGGTCAGATAGATACTTAATCTGCATATCAATCCACCAATGGCTGCTACATTTTGGATATAATTAATGGCTTGATACTCCAACACTAACACTTGCGCCTATAACAATAATGGTTTCTTATATTAACATTTTACATACTAGACGAAGCTAATAGTTTTTGTTTTGTGCTTGGTTTTCTGTTCGTGATCATTGCAATATTATGGTTACATACTTATATATGCCATAAAGATAATAAACTTTGCATAAACGCCTGCTGTGTCAGGAAGTCTTACTTTTGATCAAACGTTCAAAGATCATATAGCAACTAAAATGGTTTTTATCAATTGCCGCCAATCATTTTGTGTCACAGGAAGGGTTTTGATGGTCACATTTATCCTATAGTAATTTGAAAGTATTGGCATTTTTACAGATGCACTTGGATGATAAAACCGGTGCCTATTTCGACTATGGTAACCACACAGAAAAGGTCTCTCTTGCAGTTCCTCTATCTTGCCATCTTGCCTTTCGGACATGATTCATAACTTTCAAACTCTGATGACAATATTATTCTTACAGGTTCGATTGAGATGGTATGAAGTTAGAGAGAATGATGTTATGAGACGAGAGCTTTTGCGTGAAACATTACAACCCCCTCAGCTGCAATTAGTACCTCATGTCGGTTATGTCAGCATGTTCCCTTTCATGATGGGGGCCATTCCACCTGTATGCTCTTTACCTACATATACTTGTTCTCACTTTTACCAATCCAGTGATGCTCATCCCCTAAAGTATTAACTACCATTCAACTCTGTTCAGGAATCATGGGTTCTTGAGAAGCAGCTTGATCTTATATCAAATAGCTCTATCCTGTGGACAAATTACGGACTTCGGTCACTTTCTCGAACAAGGTATATATAAAGATAATAACTCATTTAACCTGAATCATGGGCAAAATTTCCTACTTGATCTCCAGCAACCTAAACTTGCATCAAGACGATTAGTTATGAAGCTGATACTTCTGGAATAAATGAGATATTTCATTTCATTTATTTATTTGAAAAGTGTAATTTCTTTAGAGGATCCAATACTCAATTGGTAAGACTTGTCCCGGGGGATGAAGTGGGTATAAGTCTGCATTGCCCCCAACACCTAAATGTTTATCGTTTGAGCTTGTTAATGAATTAAAATCAACATAACAATGTATACATAGCATTATTGTTTGGTCTTTTGGTTACTCTGATCTGAATTATCTGTTGTCCATGGTCCAGTTCAATATATATGAAGCGCAACACTGAGCATGATCCCCCATATTGGAGAGGTGCCATTTGGATAAACATGAACTACATGATTCTTTCAGGACTACACCACTATGCACATGGTAAACTCTATAACAGATGCTGCTAAACAACTATTCAGCTTTTACCCTTCTGTAAATTTTACTGTTTGCACGATGATCTAATAACATTGTTCTGCTCTGAAGAGGATGGTCCATACAAGGACAGGGCAAAGGAACTGTATGATGAGCTAAGATCAAACCTGATCAGGTATATCCCTCTCTCTTCCCTAAGCTGAATAAAATAGTTAAATTGCAGCCTCTTTAATAGATTGCTGTTGCTACTTTTGTGCTTCTTACAGGAACATCGTGAAGAATTACCATGAAACTGGGTTCTTCTGGGAAAACTATGACCAGAAGAACAAAGGAAAGGGTAAGGGTGCGAGGTCCTTTACTGGATGGACTTCGCTTGTTGTTCTTATCATGGGCGAGTCCTACCCGACCCTACATAGGTAAGCGAATATTCCAACAGAGAAACAACACAACAAATCCCAATTGGAAATTTGGAATGGAAGACCTGAACATGATTTAGCTCGATTTTGACCCCAAAGAAAAACCCTCGGAAAAACTTTGATCGTGGGGGTTTTGAACAATAACCGGTGATTACTCCGTGCTGCATATATGGTTTGTGCCTTCTTGAGACAGTAGTTACGTAGCTAATGATAACATTTATCCTAGATTCTGTAACTAGTGTCTCGATAAACATTTTTTTTGGGGCTTTGAGATCCCTTTGGAGGAGCAAAGTATGCACTAGAATCGAGAGGTAATGAAATTCTAACGTAATCTGCCCATGTCTACGCGTTGTTGGCTTCTTGCTGCAGTCTGTAGCGTTGGCCTTGTGTTAAACAATTTTTATGTTAAGAAAAGAAACTTGATCACGGGGATTCAGGGAGCTGTAACCTGTAAGGTCCATCTACGGCTAATGGAGTAATAGCTCGGCACTAATACAGTTCTTACCGTTTCTGCCATGAAGAAGAGATGACTACCCAAATCTGTCATGGTTCTCGTGGATCAATATTTGCCTGAGCCTTCGAGTGAACTTTGCTTGCTACTTCTGCAAGCATATGATCTCACTCTCTAATGCAAGCAAAGTACCGGAAGATTATCGTGATCGTACTGCAGCAGTAACAGCACGATCTTCTGTCATGAAAACGGATACTGCTAATACGACAAACTCAATCCCTACCATCTGTCCCGATAAAAACTAAACTAGGTGGAGTCTACCTGAACAATATAGTTGTCTAGATTCATTATGCTAGATGGACTCGAGTAAGAACAGATGACCTAAGAACAGATGAGACATTTGTCCAGATTTGAATCTGCATAGTCTGTACATATTCGTAGTATTAGAAAATGTCTCACTCGATCCTAGGTTCTTATATTTTTGGTATAGTATGTTCAAATTCGTAATACTAAAAAATATCTCAGATTATAAGGTCCTGTTTAGTTTACAGCAAACTTTCTCCAAACTCCTAACTTTCCATCACATCACATCACATACAAAACTTTCCTACTCACATAAACTCCCTACTTTTTTTTTCCAAACTACCAACTTTCCCCCAAACATCTCCCTAATTTTAGAAACTAAACACAACAATTCTTATATCTTGGGACCGGATGGGGCATTTGCATTTGTCTAGGGCCTGGTTTAGTTCCTAACTTTTTTTTTCAAACTTCCAACTTTTCCATCACATCAAAATTTTCCTACACACATAAACTTCCAACTTTTCCGTCACATCGTTTCAATTTCAACCAAACTTCCAATTTTAGCGTGAACTAAACATACTCTAGATTCAAATCTAGACATTCTGTACTAAGTTCTTATATTTTGGGACGATCGATTTTATTTTTAAAGAGAAAAAACAAGGAGAGAGAGGGAGGCGGAGACCCGTCACCATCGCACCACACATGGCGGACGGCGTCGCAACCACCGGAGCACAAGCTGCTGTTGCGACGCTACCAAATTCCCATCTCCACTAATAATAGCTGCGGCCACCGCCGCCGCCGCCGCCGCCTTGGTCACCAAATCCGCCTACGGCGGCGCCGGCGGTGGGGGGCATCGTCATGGCGTCGCCGAGCAGCCGCGCGGTGGCCGTCGGCGGCGCGCTCCTCCTGCTCCTCGTCTTCGCCGTCCCAACCACCTTCCTCTACCTCACCTCCGCCCCCGCCGCCTCCTCCCCGAGCCTCCTCCTCAACCTCAAGCCGTTCGGCGCCCGGTGCGCGCCCGCCGCCGCCGCCGCCCCGCCGCTCAGGGTCTTCATGTACGACCTGCCACGGCGGTTCCACGTCGGCATGATGGACGCCTCCGCCTCGGGGTTCCCCGCGTGGCCGCCGTCGGCGGGCGGGATCAGGCGGCAGCACAGCGTGGAGTACTGGATGATGGCGTCGCTGCAGGGCGGGGGAGGTGGGGGGAACGGGTCGTCGTCGGAGGAGGGGAGGGAGGCGGTGCGGGTGACGGATCCCGACGCGGCGGAGGCCTTCTTCGTGCCCTTCTTCTCGTCGCTCAGCTTCAACGTCCACGGCCGCAACATGACCGATCCAGAGACCGAGGCCGACCGCCTCCTCCAGGTGCAGTAAATCTCACACTTTTTCCTTTCAATTCAGCTGGTAATCCTGTTTGCAATGGCATGGCCTATGTTCTTGTGGAAATGCAGAGTCATGCCTACGAAATTTTGTGTTGTTCTGTCATGTCTTAATTTTTTGGAGTCATTTTGGTATGCACTGTGGATTGAGAGACTGCTGAAAGCAGCCAAATTTATCTGCTTCTCATAAAACTATGCTACATCATTCAATAGAACAGGCGAATTGTACTGGGGGAAAAAAATCAAGTAATCATTAAACAAAGAAGACGAGCACACCAAAGATGACATGTGGATGCGATAAACTGTATAGCTTTGGAAAAATGCTCTCATTTAGTTGGTGTTACATCACCATCAACCTCGCTATTAGCAATAATGGTTTCTCCAAATTCTGATAAACCATAGAAAAATGCCGTCTACTCTTCTTTGCTCAGTAATCTGTTGTGTGGTGCGGCATTTCCTTTTCTGTCATGACAATATATCGATTTATTTCTATGATGTTTGACAATTAGCTACCCTGAGTTATGGTGAGTATCAGGAATTTGGTTGTTTTATATATGATGATCATTTATGACGAATTGGTATGCTTTGATCACCTCCTTAGACTTTTTCATGTTGCTGGTGTGCAGTATGCTGCCATATAATAGTGTCAATGTGCCCTAGTTCTACATAATATAAACTAACTTCATGGCATTATAATTACACTGATTTGTTTTAGTTTATTTTCTTGTAGGTTGAGCTTATGGAGATTTTATGGAAATCTAAATATTGGCAACGATCTGCAGGCCGTGATCATGTGATTCCCATGCATCACCCAAATGCTTTTAGGTTTTTGCGTGATATGGTGAATGCATCTATTCTTATAGTTGCAGACTTTGGAAGATACACAAAAGAATTGGCTTCCTTGAGGAAAGATGTTGTAGCTCCATATGTGCATGTTGTAGATTCCTTCCTTAACGATGATCCACCTGATCCATTTGATGATCGTCCTACACTGCTTTTCTTTCGAGGGCGTACAGTCAGGAAAGATGTATGCAACTTAATTATTCCCTTCTCTGTGATCTATCATAATCTGCCTATTTAGCTCAGTGCTATTTTTGTTGGAACTGCTCTCGACATAAATAAATACCTAACTTTTGTGTTTCAAGAACATGACCTTTTTTGGGGCTCCTTTTTTTTTTCAGGAAGGGAAGATCCGTGCTAAACTTGCCAAGATTCTAAAAGGGAAGGATGGTGTGCGCTTTGAGGATAGCCTTGCAACAGGTGAAGGCATTAAAACAGTAAGGCCTTTGTCATTTGCACCTTACTTTTCTAATGTCATCTAAACGTATAGTGCCTTCTGCTATGGTTTGAACGTGCTAAGGTGATCTAAAGTCTTTCCTGTTGAGGTTTTCATAAGAGGGCATGACATTTAAAAATGGTTTACTCCTAACAGTCTACGGAAGGCATGCGATCATCAAAGTTTTGTCTCCATCCTGCTGGGGATACTCCTTCCTCGTGCCGACTGTTTGATGCAATTGTCAGTCATTGTGTTCCTGTGATTGTCAGCAGTCGGATTGAGCTCCCTTTCGAAGATGAGATTGATTACAGTGAGTTCTCCCTTTTCTTCTCAGTGGAAGAAGCTCTAAGACCTGATTATTTGCTCAACCAGCTCAGACAGATCCAGAAAACGAAGTGGGTTGAGATCTGGTCAAAGCTAAAAAATGTCTCTCATCACTATGAATTCCAGAATCCACCCAGGAAGGGTGATGCTGTGAACATGATATGGAGGCAGGTGAAGCACAAAGTCCCTGCAGTTAATCTTGCGATTCACAGGAATAGGAGATTAAAAATTCCAGACTGGTGGGGATGAACCTTGGTGAATTGTGTATATATTATCATATCGATGGGGCGACGGCTGAAGTGACATTTTTTGGGATGTATATGATGAAGTCATGCTGGTCATTCCTTGTGCACCATCAAAATCAAAATGGGTCCGAGTCTCATTCCACGCAGGTTTACTGACGCACTAACATTTTTGTCCCCTTTTTTGTTCCTTCTATGACATCCTAACTATTTTTTTCCTCTGATTTTTACGATATAGTGGAAGCAAATAAGTTGTATTAATGTTGTAGAGCAGATTTTCATCTGACAATACAAAGACACAAAGCACCTATGTTACATATCGGTCTATCGGATGTTGCAATGTATTCCCATTAGATACCACTCCTCTCTGTGATTGATACTTTTGTGTACCTTTTAGTTCTAGGAAGTTTCGTTATGTGTAAATATTTCGTCTCATAGCTTAATCATTTTGCTGGTTTTCGACTTCTGATGAGAACTCCTGCGGAAAGTTCTGATGAAACTTTTGTCAGGTTGTCGGGGTCATACACAGGTACACTTGTGTTTAAACAAACTTAAGTATCAAATCTAATCTGATGTTCTGGTTTAGTTTACTTTAGAAGGTGGGTAAAGGTTGTTGAAAAAATGGGGTGAAAGGAACGTTCCTCCGAGTCAGACCATCCTTGTTTAGTTGTTTATCTGCTTATCACATGGATCGACTTGCTGGAACATACCTAATATATATTTTTAGCTTGCACTGTAATTCCATTAATCTACTGCAAAATTGATCTATGTACTAAGCATGCGCAAAACTTAAAGGGGAAGATCTTAGATCATTTTTAGTACCAGTAGAGACCAAGATATCGATAATCGTTCTGCTGATTATACCAAAATCTTTTATTATAATACTGGTCTTTTTTGTCCCAGTTTCTTGCGGTTTTGAGCAAAGAAAGAACTATGATATGGAAATGCATGGGAGGTCGTGACCTAAAAGATAATCCCAACAAACCACTGACTTTTGCTGCTCTGTCTATGTGCATTTCTTGGTTGACCATCAAGAAGAACATCAGATACCATTTGCCACATCACAGAGATGAACAAAATATCTCAAAAAAAAAAAAAGAATGTCTAACCCTGGCACTGGCAGAGTCCAACTTTCCACTTCTCCAGCTATGCTGATGAGCAGCAAGCAGTACACCAGCTCATGCAAATCCAAGCATTTACAACTATAATAATGCAAGATCAACACAAAGGCACAAACCTGACATGAGCGTGACATTGCCTGGATGGCCGGATTAGAGCTGATGCATACAATCACCAGTTCACTACTGGAATCCATGCAGAACAAGACAGCACAGCAAAGTACTCCTTTTCTGTCAATTTCTTTCAAGCGACCGGTGGTTGGCTCTTGAGTCTTGATCCGTTTTTAGGGAATAATGTAAGTGATTAGTCCATCCAAAGGACAAACGAACAATACGATCACGAGGCCATGTGCTCGCCTTCCAAACTTTGGCTGGTTTTAGTGCAATGAACATAATGACATCAACATAATTTCAAACCAAGTGTCCACCTGACCTGTTTTAGTTTAATTTCAATTCTTTGACATGAAAGAACACACCCTGACCAGAACAAAATGTAAGCACCAACAAGACAATAGGAGAGGAGACCAAGGTCAACAAATACAACCTTAACCGCTTCAGTTATCGCAGTTATCAGACTTCTTGAGCCTCTATGAATCGAGAAACCGCTTGACAGATGAGTCTAAGTTCTTTAAAACTATTCAATTTTTCTCACATAATTTACTCAAATTCCACCTTTTTTCATCCGTAACTGATTTGTTATCACAGATATTGACAAAATTTTGTAACACATTGACAAGAGAATCCATACAGGAGATCATGATCATCCATCTCCTTTGTACTCAAGGCCCTGCTTAGTTCAGGGGTGAAAAGTTGTTATGTGTCACATCGAATATATGGACACATATTTGAAGTATTAAACGTATTATGATAATAAAACAAATTATATATTCCACATGTAAATTGCGAGACGAATTTATTAAGTCTAATTAATCCGTTATTAGCAAATATTTACTGTAGCACCATATTATCAAATCATGGTGCAATTAGACTTAAAAGATTCGTCTCGCAATTTACACACAATCTGTGTAATTAGTTTTTTTTTCTATATTTAATACTCATGTGTCCAAATATTCGATGTAAAAGATGAAAATTTTTTTGTTTGGGAAATAAACCTTAGAGAGTGGAGATGGAGTGCCGGCCGAGCAAATCCGGACCGTACGATAAAGCGAGGATTAGTGGGAGCATTAAGGCATCATCAAAACCACCCAGCGACTCATTCAAAACCACCCCCTCCAGCTCAGCGGATTAGCGACTCTAACACTAAGTCCATTTCGCCTCCTCCTCTCCCCTTCCCCTTCTCCTTCCCCTTCGCTTCCTCTTCTTCGCAGCGGTAGCAGCAACCTCCTCGACGTCGCGCTCGGGCTCGATCCCAACCGGAGAGGAGGATGGCGGCGGCGCCGCCGGGAGGGCAGGAGAAGGTGATCGCGGCGGCGCAGCACATCGTCAAGTCGCTCGCCAACTCCAAGAACGCCGCCGACGACATGATCCGGATACTCTCCGGGTTCGACGACCGCCTCACCTTCATGTCCGACCTCTTCCCGCCTCCCCCTCCCGCCGCCGCCGCCGTGAGGGAGCCCTCCGTCGTGGAGGAGGAGGAGGCCGGCCCCGATGACGCGCGGGAGGACGAGGTGGAGGAGGCGGCGGAGTTGGTGGAGCGGTGGGATTCTCCGGAGGAGGGGGATAGGCTGGTGTTCGATTCGGCGAAGGACGCGGGGGATTACCTGGGCGCGGCCGCCGTCCTCGTGGGGGCGCGCGGCGCGCGCGCGGAGGCGGCGCTGCAGGCGGCGATGGCGCGGCTGGAGGACGAGTTCCGCCACCTGCTGGCCCGCGGGATGTCGCCGCTCGCCGGGGAGGACCTGCACGCCTCCCTCCTCCGCCGCCTCTCGCTCACGGTGCCGTCCTTCGCCTCCTCCGCCTCTGACCTCGATTGCCCCTCCTTCGCCAGCCACACCGGCGACGGGGACGAGTCCGGCGGCGCGGGCGGCAGGGCCTCCGTCTCCGACGAAGAGATCTCCCCGTACCTCATCTCCCCGGACACCGTCGGCGCCCTCAGGGGCATCGCGGACGTCATGCTGCGCGCAGGCTACGGGCCGGAGCTGTGCCAGGTCTACGGCGAGATGCGCCGCGACACGCTCATGGAGTGCCTCGCCGTGCTTGGCGTCGACAAGATGAGCCTGGAGGAGGTGCAGCGCGTGGAATGGGGCGTCCTCGACGGCAAGATGAAGAAGTGGATCCAGGCGCTCAAGGTCGTCGTCAGGGGGCTTGTTGCTGAGGAGCGCCGCATCTGCAACCAGATCTTTGCCGCCGATGCCGAAGCCGAGGAGGATTGCTTCACTGAGGCAGCCAAGGGGTGTGTCCTGCAGCTGCTCAACTTTGGTGACGCAATTGCAATCGGGAAGAGATCGTCCGAGAAGCTGTTCCGCATTCTTGGCATGTATGAGGCGCTGGATGAGGTGTTGCCGGAGCTCGAGGGCTTGTTCTCAGGTGATGCAAGGGATTTCATCAAGGAAGAGGCTGTGGGGATACTCATGAGGCTTGGGGATGCGGTGCGTGGCACCGTTGCAGAGTTTGCAAATGCAATACAGGGGGAGACATCTCGGAGAGCGTTGCCCGGTGGGGAGATTCACCCACTCACGCGGTATGTCATGAACTATGTCCGACTGCTTGCAGACTATAGCCGCTCACTGAACCAACTTCTCAAGGACTGGGATACTGAGCTAGAAAATGGAGGTGACAACGTGAATATGACTCCACTGGGGCAGTGTGTGCTCATACTGATCACACATCTACAGGCCAAGATCGAGGAGAAATCAAAGCTGTATGAGGATGAGGCACTTCAGAACATATTTTTGATGAACAATCTGCTGTACATTGTACAGAAGGTGAAGGATTCAGAGCTGAAGACCTTGCTTGGCGATAATTGGATCCGCCAGCGTCGTGGTCAGATAAGACGGTACTCTACAGGGTACCTTAGGTCCTCATGGACGAGGGTATTAGCTTGTCTGAGAGATGATGGATTGCCACAGACAATGGGTTCATCAAGTGCACTCAAGGCTTCACTCAAGGAAAGGTTCAAGAACTTTAACTTGGCATTCGAGGAGTTATACAAGACACAGACAACATGGAAGGTTGTGGACCCTCAATTAAGAGAGGAGTTGAAGATTTCAATCTCAGAGAAAGTCCTTCCAGCATATCGTTCTTTTGTTGGAAGGTTCCGAGGTCAGCTAGAGGGTGGAAGGAATTCCGCAAGGTATATAAAGTACAACCCTGAAGATTTGGAGAATCAGGTCTCAGATTTTTTTGAAGGCAGAAGACCAAATGCTTGATCGATTAGTCATGTTTGATGGTTAAGGTGAGTACTAAACCCCTGATTGCACTTCCATAGAGTTTTATAGATTACTATAAGGTGTTGCAGTCAAGATCTTTTTGCTTGTATGTTGTTAAAGTTAATCTGGGAGTTAGTTTTGCAAGAACATAGTGATGCACTGCACATCAAATTAGCCTTTGGGATGTATGCTGCTACAACTTGAAATGTTCGATGAGATCTTGTCCTCATATTGTTAACGATTGAATTACTGCAGGCATATGTGTTATCTTTTTAGTTAATTTAATCAAGCAATGATCTATTGATCTGAGGAACTCTTGAACTACCAATCTGAATGATGGGCTTTTTAATGTCTCATGTGAACCATGGTTGGTTATGCTTCTTAATCTGCAACCTTGATTTATATAACTGTATATCATCATAAACATATTTAAAATGGCTCTTAAACAACAACCTTTTTTGAACCAGAAGTATAGATTCCATATACAGTTTTTTTGGAGAATATGATTTTAACTGAAAACCAGAGTTTAAGATATCTAACACCGTGGGTTGGCTTTAACATGCTATGTTGTCCTTTATAGGCAAATTGTTGACATGTTAATAGTAGCAGAAAAAAAATATTCCAATTTTGTTAGTTTTTGCTTGCCAATTTGTAGGAGAAACTTTTATAGGCATGTTTTTTTTTCCTTGAAAAATATGCTCACCAACCTGATCACTTTTCTGTTTAGGGATGTTTATATCAATGATTTTAGTTACAACTCCCTCATGAATTTCATTGGTGGCGCTATATTGGTAGCTTGATCTGCAAAGACCTTTGATAATCCGAAGATGGAAAGAAAAATCAGTTTTGCCTGTAGAAGAAGCAGTGTGAACTGCAAGCAAACAGAATTTTTTGGTATTGCGAAGCAATCGGAATTGGATACCTAGCTTTTGATCTATCAAGGTGCTGACTATATCAAGGTTCGACATGAAATTTAGGACACTGGACACTACCATGAGCTGTGTAATTCTTACATTTTTTTTTCTCATCTTTTGTTGATTGTAACATCTCGTGACTTGTTTGACATCGAAAGAATGGTTGGTGCTTGGCATTTTTTATGTACAATTCATACCAGTAGTTATATCAATACAGCCATTTGTTATGTGCAGTATAGTTTGTTGCTGATAAAAAAGGAGACCATAGTAAATTACTACATTGCTCCTATCATCATGTACTTGTCAATCTCTGATCATGAAGTGGTGTTGCAATTTCATTATACCTTCTGCTACGACTCCTAATCCATCAATTCATGAACTGATGTAATCGGGTGCAGTTTTCATCAATTATTATTGGTATCTTGTCTTCTGTTGCCTTCATGATACAAATGAGCAGGAATTTTGCTGGCATTGTCAGAGTCTCATTCCAGATTTCCAGGTGCGTCTTTTTAAAACATGAATAGAACCTTGGTGTTCCACATGTGGAAGCATTATGATAAGCTAGCTATGCATTAGTCACATTGTAACACAAACAAACTAAGGTGATCTTTCTAGAGGGTAAAAGGAGGAAATTGCAAAGAAAGAAACATCACATACTACACAAAAGGACCGGATCGAAAGAATGAAGTGATAAAAAAGAAACCTGATTTAATTTGGACTAATGAAAATGTTTTGGTTTTCAGACCCTGCTGTTCTGAGGTAGAGGGAAAACGCCATTGAAGAAGTCCCCAAAGTAGCCAGGCGGCTCGTACACCAGCTTGGCGATTATGTCTCTGAGAGTGATGAGCCCATCCAGGTTGCCTTGCTCGTCCACGACGTAGATCCTCTGCCTCTTCTCTGCATCCAGCTTGAAGATGATCTCCTTTATGCTCTCCTCCTTCTTGCAGGTCACGATGTTCATCTGCTTCTCGCCTGAACTCTGCCTCGCATTCGCGATGAACTCTTGCGCCGTCAGCGTCCTGCAAATTTGCAATTCGATTGATTCTGTCAACATTTTTTTCCCCAAGAAGACCGAAGGAGACCATCCAAATGTATAAGATAGATAAAAGTAAAAAAAAAAAACACGACAAAAAGCACATCCAAGAACCATGCGTTAACCACACAAGCAAAAATCACTGAGAGTGAAGTCTAGCACCAAAACGGCTTCTGCTATGCGTGACCGGTCGCCGCCGAGCCTACGACAACACCATAAAGACGAGACTCCGAAAACGAGGAGATGCAGATGTTTTTGAGGGGGGGTTTGGTTTTTGACCTGTAGTCCCTGTTGGCGTCAGAGGAGGCGAGGAGATGCTTGACGTCCTTGATCATGATGCTGCCGGTGGGCTTGCCGGCGTGGTCGACGACGGGGATGCCGCCGACGCCGCGCTTGCGCATGAGGCGGAATGCCTTGAGCGCCGGCTCGTCGTGGCGGACCTTGACGAGGCGGCTGGGGCGTATCATGGGGAGGCCGAGCTCGGTGAGCGACTTGGCGCCCCAGTCCTCGAACCAGTGGAGCCCCGCGCACTCGGCGAGCATGTGCACCACGGCGGCCTGCGTGATGACGTTGCTGATGGTGCCCTCGCCGATGTCCACCACGGGGAGGCTCTTCATCCGGTACTTGGACAGCAGCAGCAGCATCGTCAGGAACGTGTCCGAGCTCTGCAGCGCCAGGAATGGCGCCCACCGGAACGACCCGGAGATGTCCTTCACCTTCGTCTTGTTGAACAGGTCCGACGACGGCAGCGCGCCGAACGCCTCCGCGACCGCCCCCTCCGCCGACTGCTGCTGGTCGGGCGCCCTCGCGGCGGCGGCGCCCTCAAGCGCGACGGTGCCGAGCTTGGCCGCCAGCTCGTCGGCGCCGAGGTCGTCGGCCCTGGCGGCGGCGGCCTCGGACTGGTGGAGCAGCCAGACGGCGATGCCGGCGAACTCGACGACGCCGATGTAGCGGTCGATCCAGCTGGCGTCGTCGGGGGCGTCGACGTTGCGGACGGGGGCGGTGATGATCCGGTGGCGCGACAGGATGTCGACGGCCTCGGCGAGCGTGGCGTCGGAGGGGATCTCGACCACCTGCGCGCCGTCGAACGTGTGCGGGAACGACGCCACCGGGATGGCGTCGAAGCAGCTGTTGAGCCGGTCCCGGTCGCTCAGCTGCGGCTGGTCCAGGCTGTCCCAGATGTCCTCCACCCTCATCCCGATCTCCGCCTCCGGGCTCCACCGTGCGCTCCCCAGCGGGCTCTCCACCACCCTCTCCTCCCCCCGCCATTGCTCCTCCTTCGTCCTCACCTCCCTCCTCGCCTGCATCCCTGATACCTCCTCCTCCTCCACACACGCGCAATGCTTCCTTCTTCTTCCGAGGCGCCACCGCGATCTCAGCTATGTCCTTCCTCTCCAATGGCTTCGCGCGCGACAAGTGTTTCGCGCGCCGGGACTCTCGCTCTCGCACTCGCCGGAGACGACGATTGCTTTCCAGATGGGCTCAATTCCACCGGTGGGCTGGGCCGGGAGATATTTTCCTCCTGGACCCTTTCGCAAGTAACACGCGTCGGGTTTACACTTCACTGACAGGTGGGGCCGGATCGACCCGGGCCCACGTGTCAGCGTCTCCGGTAGAGCGGTGCGATCCCCCCCCCCCCCACAACTACCAATCTCCACGCCCACCTCCTCCTCCTCCTCCGTCCTCCTCTCTCTCCCCAAATCGAACATCGAGAGAGAGAGAGAGAGAGGTCTAAAACCCTAACCCCCGAATCGAATCTCGTCGGAAGCCGCCGCCGCCGCCGCCGCCGACGACGACGCCCGCGACGCCATGGACATGGGAGCGATGAGCGATCCTGAGAGGATGTTCTTCTTCGACCTGGCATGCCAGAACGCCAAGGTCACCTACGAACAGAACCCGCACGACGCCGACGTAAGCCCCTTCCTCGCCTCGAGCCTTTTTGAGACTCTGCTTGATTGCTTGCTTGCTTTTCCTGATGGTTTGGGTTGCTTCTGATTGGATGCGACGCGACGCGATCCGATCTGATGGTGGGTTTGTCTTTGTTGTTCTTCGTCGCAGAATCTCACGCGGTGGGGAGGCGCGCTGCTCGAGCTCTCGCAGATGCGGAACGGCCCCGAGAGCCTCAAGTGCCTAGAAGGTATACCGTGAGATCTCGAAACTTGGTTGTGCGGATTATTCGGTGATTTGGACTGTTTACTTGTAGAGATGTTGGAGTTGATGCTTCCTAGGGGCTATTGTAACCAATGGGATTGAGATTTCTGTGTGTGTTATTCAGCATTAATGGATTCGGTTGGTCTGGAAGGGCCAAATCTTTGCAAATCGTGTTCTACAAGTCAAGCTAATCCTTAGCAATTAGATTGACTTTTGTTCTCATGATAATTGAAAAGCTCAAACCTAATATATTGTTTGCTTAAAGTAAAAGGTACAATGTTCTTAAAGGAAAATTTGTCATGCTGTTTTATTAACAATAAGAAAAGGATAAAATCCTGCTGGTATGACATGGGAAGGTAATCACAACTTGTTCTGCCTAGTTTAGTGACTGGATAACTGTTCTACCCACGGTTATGTGGTTTTTCATTTCAGTACCTCAAACATTTAGGGCACTCGTAGGTGGTGCATTCAATTTCATTATATGCAGTTTAGGAACCGCTACTGTTTTCTGATGGTGCTTGTCTATCCATTCATGAGTTTAGACAACTTTGCATGTTTGATGTTTTCCTTTTTAAGGTATTATTTGGGATGAAAAAAAGAAGATGATGACGGGATTCATCAAAATCATTCAATAATCCAGCAGTGCACTACACATCAGATGATTAATGAGAAGAATGCTATTCTTCACCCAATTGTTCAGACTGAATAGTTTTTCCTGGGCCTACTGACATAATTTTATCAAGTTATATGTAAATGCTGGGAGCTGTTCGTTTGCTTGATGTATTTTGTTGATTCTTTGTTAAAGTTAAGAGTATGATCACATTTTAGCTAGGAAGTAGGATAATATGGTGGGTGCATAATCAAGTATTGGAATGGAAAGCAATTGATTGTTCTTGTGCCGTCTGGGCTGTTCAATTGAAGTAACAGTACTTTGTTGGTGGCTTAACATGCACATGTGTTATGAGTTTTGTTGCACATTAATTTGTGTATTTTGATGTCAGTAGAAGTTACTCAATTTGTTCAAATTGAAGTATACTGATCCAGTTAATTTTATTTATAGATGCGGAATCCAAGCTGGAGGAAGCACTGAAAATTGATCCCATGAAGGCGGATGCGCTTTGGTGCTTGGGAAATGCACAGACCTCTCATGGATTCTTCACTTCAGACACTGTCAAGGCCAATGAATTCTTTGAAAAGGCAACCCAGTGTTTCCAGAAGGCTGTTGATGTGGTATGTGTAGTTTGCTAGTATGCTTCCGCAAACACATTTCCTTGTTCCATGGTGGAGGCTGACCTGCAGTCCTGAAGTTGTGTGGCCTAAAACCGTCACAGGAGCCTCCTGATGTTCTTTTGCTGTAAAATAAGTGCCTTTTTTTATCTGGAAACTAATGTACAGTCCTGTTTCTTGTAGGAACCTGCGAATGATCTTTACAGGAAGTCATTGGATTTGTCATCCAAGGTGCTGACAACACTTTATGTTTAGCACTATTTGTGCGATCTTTGTTACAATAATGCTACCATTGGTTTATACGCTGCAAATAGAACATTTGAGGTCTCTAGTTAACAACTCTGATTACAGCAAGTTCTGACTACACCTTTCAAAGGATTTCATAATCCTAACTGCTTCACATCTTAACCTTGTACTCCCTCCAGTCATGACAGATTGACGCCCTATAATACATGCAGATGTTATGTTAAGAAGTGCTTGTATCATACTGTACTTACACTATTTGTTTCAAATCTCAGGCGCCAGAACTGCACATGGAGATTCATAGGCAAATGGCATCTCAGGCTTCACAAGCTGCATCCTCAACCTCGAATACAAGGGTATTCTGTCTTAACATTGCAGGACTTTACTCTCTTACCTGTCAGAAATAAGAATTGCACAGCTACTCTTTTTTCTTCCAAAATTTATATGGCTATCAATTTTTGTTATGTTTGCTGCCTATTTTCGAATCTTGCATGCATCTTCTTATTAAGCATTTTTCAGTAGGCAAATTAGTAAATTATTATTTTTACTTCCTAATGTACCTGTTTTGGGTTGGCTACACTTACATTGGTATGTGCTCTTTAGAGATGAATGTAAGTTGGAGATTTTCTTCCTGAGCATATATTGGCTTTGTTACTATTTCTCAAATAACAAAGATGATAATCTGTATTGTGGAAAATAGAGCAGCCCACCCCACATACAATTGTGAACTGGATATACTATGGTTATTATTAACTAGTAGAATAAGGTAACAGTAGTAGGGAGGCAGTACAAATTGATTTGGCGCGTCATTACTGTTCTGAGCAATTGAGCCAATCTATCTGCAAGGATCTCAGTAACTCTTTGTGTTGGATATATCTGTGTTGGTACTTACTACCTTGTTGAGTTGTTGGCCTATACACATCTCATTGTAGTCATTTGCTAGAAAGTTGAAAATTAGTCCCTGGGCTCTATTCTGACAACCTGCATAATCAATTGTGTACTCGGAGCATAAAGCTTTGACTCTAAGCGTTTTCAGTTTTAGCCATAAGTTGATATAGTAGTTTGGTTCAATATACTCCCAAGTAATATTATCTTACTTACATTGATTTGATTGTATTGATCTGATCCCAGAAGATTTGGCATAATTTTCACATGGTAGATTTTAAAATATATGTAGACAATGATCCTACATTTTCCATCCCTGCAAAGAACCCATACCCAAGTCAGGCTCGTGATTCTGAAATCCTTTGGGTATATGAGTATATTTTCTGATGAAAACTGCTAGCTGACTTTGATTTTTAACGTTATTCTGTAGCATGTATAACTGTTGCCTGATCCCCTTATCTTTCCCTTATCCAAACTGATAACGTGGTGGTTTGCAGCAATCAAGGAAGAAGAAGAAGGATAGCGACTTCTGGTATGATGTCTTCGGGTGGGTGGTTCTTGGGGTTGGCATGGTTGTCTGGGTGGGTCTTGCCAAATCTAATGCCCCGCCCCAAGCTCCTAGGTGAGGTGGGTCGTCTTCCAACACTACCTGCAGAAGGCAGCGTGCCTATGTTAGGTGCCTCAGACTTCAAATCTTGCTAGTGGCTAGTTAATCATGGAGAGGAACTGGTGTTTCCATGTTACAGTTTGGTCAGATTTTCAATGCCTGATATCCTTTTCCAGCTTTGATGAGGTTTAGATGAGTCATAAATCAACACTTATTGATACTTGTTTATCCCGGTATTGTTTTGAGGCAAAAACTATTATTACTATGTTTTGATCGTTTTATCAATGCTATCTGCATTATATATACTGCCACACTGGGTGCTATTGTATGGTGAACGGCATCCTTTCTTTTATTAAGCACATAATGCTCAGCTGTTGTCTGAATCCCAGAATTGAACCTGTGTAATCAGCACACTGTCTGGTTGTGGTTTTGTTGGGAACATCGTTTTCCTTGAATCATTACCCCTGATTGTTTTACGCCAAAAATATGTGCGATCTATTATCATGTCATCTCTTTTCGGAGTTTGTCGGAATCCTGTTGGCAGGCACGATGTAGGGCTGCCATCTTACCTGCACTCCAAAAGAATTGCCAGGATCTACTCTGGTAGACCTGGCGTGCCTCACAGCTGCACCCTATGCCGCTCCATGAGCGCACTGGTTTAACTTGGGCCCTGCTTATAACAATTCTCCCAGTCTTGATGGAACATGTAAAATCATCAGCCTTAGCTTACAAGCAAAATTCCGATCGGACTAACGGAGCCTTATTTTGATTACTTGAATTAAGCTGCTTCTTGACTGGTAATTAAGCTATAAATAGGATATATATGGAATAATCATTCGTAATATGTTTCGGTAGTACTGCATTTGGATACCTGTCAAAAACGGCTTATATTCAAGGACAGATGAACTTAATCCATCTTCTCGTAGTATTGTATTTCTGGACAGATGGAGTACGATAATCCAGCATGAATTTTGCAGGGAGGAAGAGGAACACATCAGTGTGCCAGTGGGGTGTGGGGTAGACGTAACTTCAGGGTCTTTGACTCTTTGCTCTCTTCGGTCTCAGTGGTCCTAGAGTCCATCTTTTCGGAGGGCCGGCTGTGGTCGTTAGCGGCCGTCGCTTTCTTTAGGGAATTGTTGGGAGTGTAGAGTGGCTCTGCCTCCTCCCGCTGTTTGGAGTAGAGCTGCCGTCGTATCGAGTTTTTTTTCCTTTTCTTGTTTTTTTTGTCTGTTTTTCTTCCTTCCTTAGCGTAAACTGGTCTGGCTAAGTGCGTCATGTAAAAAACTCTATTTTTCTAATACATTGACGTGCAATTTTTTTGCGCGTTCGCGAAAAAAGTGTGGGGAAACATCGGCAGCAGTTACTGTTGGAGGTCTCCTTTGTTGTGCAAGTGATTGGCAACGGTTGCTTGCATCTGAAAACCCGTCCACCACCACCACCACCACGACCACGACCACGTTGTAGAAGGCAGGCAGCAGTAATAGCAGCGGTACGATGTGTCTTGTGTGCGCGTGTGCGGGCGGCGTTTCCTGCGAGATGAAGAAAAGCTAACAACAGTCCATCCGTTTCGGCCCCATCCATCCGATCCATCCATCATGGATCCCCGTCTCAGCCTCCGGGCCCGTGTTTGTGATGGCCCGGCCGTACCTATGTCAGAACTAGTGAGGTAGTGAGGGGTAGTAGTCCTAAAGTATGTATATAACATTTAACATCCAAATTCTCTTTTTCCTGTCAAAAAAAACATTTAACATCCAAATTTGTTATAAAATATAACAACTTATTCGATCTTTTTTTTCCTCAACCAAATATAACTTTCTATACACACTTTCTCGACGTATCATCTACTCTCAACCAATCATATTTCGGAGGTAGTAGATATTATGAGAAACAGCCGATTAGAATATAGAGAAACAAAAAATATCCGATTTCTACATACCAGCACTAGTTTGTTTTATAAGAGTGTGTTCGTTAATAGAGAGGATTAGTTCCTTATTTTCCTTCCATGCATCCTAAATTGTTAAATGATATATTTTAAAAAAAATTCTATAGAACATTGCTTTGAAAAGTCATATTAATATATTTTAAGTTTAATATAATTAATACTCAACTAATTTACGTATCTTCTCAATATTCTTATTTTCCTTCCTCAAAAACTCCCTAAATTATGTAACTACATATTCTTATAATCAATCTAAACTCTGTCAGAAACTCATCCACACAAACCCATAATTCATTTTTCTAGAATTTGCAGTGATGTGGTAATAGGATTATTGGTGTATGACTTTAACCACCAAATCTAATTTAAATCCTAGTGCCCACGAATATTTCTCACGTGTATGTAAAATTTTAATATGAGCTTGGTGAGATCGTGAATGTACCGTTGGTTTCTGTTATTTTAACGTGTATTACGAATGTATTCGTGGATGGATAAGTACGGTGTTACGTGTGTAATAGTGTGTGTGTCTGCCATGTAATCGAAAAAAAAAAAGTTAGAACCAACCTTAAACTCTTCGTAAAGCTCCTCCAATCGAAAAAGAAAAAGTTAGAACCAACCTTAAACTCTTCGTAAAGCTCCTCCAAACAAAGCCGTAGTAACTGCCGGTACCGGCCGGTCTCCTCCATCCATGATTCACTCGATCCCATTGCACGCAAACGCAACGAAACGGCGAGCTTAGATTAGCTGCTGGGGTGTTGAGGACAAAACAGCCTTAAAGTGGGGGAGGTGTAGCAGCTGACGCCGGTGTGGGGAACACGGAGACGAACGCCTTCCTTCCTTCCTCCTCACGCCTCTGCATGCATGCGTGTGAGAGTGATGAGCAGCTAAGCTACAGTAGCCGCCGCCCCCGGCCGGCCGGCCGGACCCGCCGCGACATGCATGCTGCTTGCTACTAGACTCGTGGATGGATGCCTCTTGTATCACTCATCACTTCATCAGTCATCACCCCGAATCGCCGTCCCATGTCCGTGTCGCCCTCATTCTTGAGTAACCTGGAAGCCTTCTCACTCGTACTTCCTCCCTCCCACACAAAAACCAATTTCTCAATATGTATTTATACATAGTCCATGTTCAGATATATGGCTAGATGTTTTTTTTTTCTAAGATGGAGGGTGTGTAATGTAACATGGCAATCTGTTCAATTCCCGTGAAATTTAGGAGAAAAAAACTCACTTGATCATCTAGTGTAAGTATGTAACATAAGAATCAGTTCAATTCTCGTGAAACTTCACAGAAAAACCTCAATCACTCGTCTAAAGTAACACGGGAATCAATTCAATTAATTCCTGTAAGATTTTAAAAATATTAATTCCCATAAAACTATAAAAAAATACTGTTCTGGATTAAAACGGAGCTTAATGTGTACTCATGAAAATGATACAAACAACTCCGTGTGTTCGCATGCATTGCACTTGCACCGATTACATTTGATCCGATCGATTTTCAATTTGCTTGGTGCAACGCACCATGTGTTGACCCAACAGTCAACAACCAAACAGCCAGCATGGACATTTGGAATAACACACAGGACTCACTCTATCAGTAGAGAGTAGTAGAGACCTTAATTAGCTACAAGACGTGCAGGTCGATGGATGGATCGACAGCAACGCCGCCTCTCTCTCTGTACCTGCATGAACCCTAATTCAAACAATGATAGTGGCAGCCAGCCACAGCTAAGCCATAGTGCACTGCACCCACAACCAACAACCTCTGTAGCCATACTTCTCATACTTGCATACATGAGCTAGCATGTGTCTATGTGTCAGTCAGCCAGTGACCCCAGTGTGTTGTGATGATCTGTGTTCATGCATCAAACTGAACTGGTGCATTGTTGTTTAGTGGCAGCAGATGTGAGATGTCCTGCAGTACCAATCAAATAAATCCAGATGAACAGCAATCTCAGCTTGTGATCATCAGATCAGCAAGACAGCAACCCAATGCATGGCATGCATCATGCATGCATAGTAGTATTTTATATTGCATTTAGCCCATCCCTGAATATCAGATGACTCACCAGCCATTCTGTCAGCCAAGAGTTGAAATTGGAACACACAACTACTGTTTTGATCCTATCACCGAATAATTAACCTATATATCTTATATATTTTAGGACGGATGATGTATATGTATCACTATCGATCATCTGTCTTTTTAGTAGCTAGCTAGCTTGGGTGTGAGACTGATGAACTTTTGTGGGTAATCATTTGGGAGCTGGTTAGCTTAGCTGCATGCATGTCCTTTAATTAGTACAATCTGTGTGCATTTTTGCACTTGTAAGTAAGCAGTTATGGCATGTTGGTGGCCTGGCCAGCATGGGTTGCCCTGCTCCCTTTCTTTGCGCGCGCGCGCGCGCACACACACACCCATTGCATTTGCATTTCATGAATTAATGCATGCACTTTGGCTGAGATAGCAAGGAAGCTGATTAATTGGACTCACAGCAAACAGGTACAACATGTTCTTGACTTGATCAGTTTGCTTGGGCCCTCATCCATCATAGGACTGAAAAAAAAAATTTCTCAAAATTATTAAGGTGGTACAAAAGCTCAACCAACCCCCCTCTTCTCACCACTTTTGGACTTGATGCATGTCTGCTGCCTCACATGCATGCAGGCAGGGCATTTTAATTTGGTTACCTACGTACATCTTTCTGAAGTTTTCGATTAGCTTTTGGATTAATTTGATCGCTACTTGAGATGATGAAGTCAAATTCGGCTTGGTTGTTACCAATCTGTCCTTAATTAGCGAGACAGAGAATCAATAAAAGAACATTTAACCTTTTGGTTTAATTTGATCACTATTTGAGCATGTATGTTTTTGCTCCTTAAGTGGCATTAATTAGGCTAAACAGGTGAGGCCCGAGAAAACAAAAAACTTATTTGCAGAGATCGATCAGGACCATCATCATCAATCAGCTCAATCGCTCGCTAAAACGTCGTCCAATTTAACACCAAACAGTAGTACCCTTAAAACAGGCCTGCCAGCCAGCTCGCTCGTGATGGCGAAATGGCCGGTTTCGTGCGTTCTAATCCAACCCTAGCTTTGGAGTTTTTCATGCGACGCATACATTGCAGTGGCCCCAACCTCATGTGGTCAGTCAGATTCAGATACAAGTTCAGAGAAACAGCAGCAGCAGCAGCATGAACCCTGAAGCTGTGCAATGCTAACAAAACAAGCAGATGGATCCATGGATTGAGATTGCATTTGCATGTGTTGATAGATGTGTGGTTGCTTGATGATTTGCTAACTCATCAACTAGTGCATATTATGCAGATGCAGCAGAAGCTGGTGTGTGTTGGTGTGGTGTGGTTAAAAGGAGTTTGCAGCCTTTTGGTACACAAGCACACACACGCCATTGATAGCTAGCAAGCAGGCAGAGCACTAGGGTTTTC